CCAGGGACTTCCCCCAGTGCAGGGCCAGCTATGGACCTTTGCTCTCCCCTCTCATCCCCCAGCCTAGGGGTATGTGAGGAGCAAGAAGGGATGTGGTGGTCAGAATGCTCTGAGCTCAGGCAGGTTTGATCTGCACAGCAGCCCACAGCTAGCTGAGAGAGACTGCATAAATCGGAGCTGTGGGGAGACAGATTAAACTCACTGGCACCCACATGTACCTTCCTGGGTGTATGGATCCCTCCAAACAAGTATATAGGCAAGTTAGTGCAGAGGGCAGCAGATCTGAATCAAGTGCCTTAGCATGGAAGGATAAAAATAGCACTGAATGTTTTGTAATAAAACCTCTCTCTACCATTTCTAAATATAGGCTGTCTGTGAAATATTTGGTCTATCCAGAATACATGGCAAGTCCATCCTCAACTGGACAGTGCTCAGCACTGGCTGCTGGAGCCCTGATTCAAACGAGCCATCTGAATTTTCCCTAAATAATCCCTAAATCTGCCTGCCAGAAACTGGGACTAGATGACTGGGGATGGATCACTCAGTAAATTGTCCTGTTCTGTTCACTCCCTCAATATCGGAAGACAGGATACTAGGCTAGATGCACCTCTGGTCTGAGCCACTACGGTTGTTCTTATGTTTGCCTTGAAGTCTGAAAAGTGTATTTTACTTACTCTTATATGGAAAAGCTCCCTCTGGGGCTTGCCCACATTAAAACATGAGGGGAGAGGATAGCCCAATGCCAAGACCAATGATGCAATCTTGATGCTGTTGAAGTCAGTTTTGAGTTCAACAGAGTCAGGATTTATCCATCAGCATGGAGAATGGCTGCTGCAGAAAGTTCTGGGCATGTGAAAACCGGGAGCTCTGTGGAAACTTTTGCAACTGTAACTCTAGCGGGAGCAAAGGAGTGCAAACCATTGAAATAGACTGATTGGAAAAGGCAGCAGAGCACTGAGTTGGGGGATTCAGAGTTCGCTAATAACACTAGAAGGCAGAAGGGGAAGTGCCTGGCAAGGCATGTTAATGAAATAGACTGGATTTTTCAGCTCTATTGATGGTCTCTGAATTGATGGGATCCTCTGAGGATAGGAATGGAGAAGCTGTCAGAGGTGGCTCCAGAGGGCACCTGGCCAGTGTACAGTGAACTAGGATACATGAGTACCTTGGAACAGGGACAGAACTGGGCTCAGCTTTGATAGACTTTTAAGAAAAAGAAATGGTGCCCGTCCCAAGACAGGTTGCAAAGACGGCTGGGTGGGGAGAAAATGGAGGCTTGGAAAAGACTCGATTGAGATACTGAACATCGTGAAGGGAAATTTAGAAGCTCGACTGGTCCCTCTGCTCATTCTGCCTCACATAGCAGGAAAAACCCCTGGTTCTTGCATAAATGGTGTTAAATTCGGAGCAAAGAAAAGCTCTGTTCACACAGTTTCTGAATTCACTGCCTGTATGTCAGAGTCTAGAATCTGTGAGTTTATGGACAAGGAGCTAAAATAAATGTAATCAAATCTTATGCTTCAGGGCATCAATTTAGCTTCTGCCATGGCCAGGCAGCAGTTCTCACCATGTGTGGCACTGACAATTAGCCAGGTGCTTTGTGAGAGGAGTTGTCTTCCCCTGAAATCCCCAGTGTTGCTTTAATGACAGAGGGTGGATCCCAGACTTGGCAGCCCACTGGCCAGCTCTGGTCCAGTGGGAGTTGGAAGGACTGGAGAGCGCTTGGCATCCCATGGTCAGCAGAGGTAACTGTCCCACCCTGCTCCAGCCATTGGGGGTGGCTCTGCCCTGCTGCCCACCAGGCCACTCCCGATAGCCGCAGTGCTTCGCCCAGGTCGCAGGGTCTCCTGTCCGATTAACATATTCCCTAACTAGGCTCAGATAAAGCCCTGGGCCCTCCTTGTGGGACAGACAAGGGTGTCTCCCTCAGTACCCTCTGTGGTGCGGGGCTGTACACTGCCCTGTGTCTGACCTCCTGGTTCTGGGGCTGGAAGTGGCTGCTGCCCCGTCCTTACAATCCATAGAAGAATCTGGGGCCACCTCCCGCACCCATGCTGAGAGCCAGGGCGGGCAGTGGGGCAGAGGGAGTCAGAGCCTGGAGACTACCCTGTGTGTTCGCCCCTCGGTCCAGCTATTGGGTGCAACCCCCTGAGAAGCTGGGGACTCTGCTGGGTGGGCTAGGAAGGGCAGGTGGGTCTCCAGCCAACCTTGGAGCAGCTGCACCGCCCTTTCCAAAAGCAAAGACCCCGGGAGTGAGCCCTGGTGAATGAGAGCCTCCGATACAAGAAACCGGGGCTCCCCACCTTGTAACTTGAGAAACAGCCAGGGACTGGGGGAGGCTGAGGACCCTGACCCCCTCGCAGTGATACCCCATGAGAGGCTGGGGTTGCCATGACCCTGGGATAGGCCAGAGGCAGCCTGGCTCTGGCTGAGTCAATAGGACTAAAGCAGAGCAACCATACCACGCTCTGCTGCCAGCACCCTGCTCTGCCAGCCTGTGGAGGGAGGAGAGCCCTGTCAGCCGCATGGCAAGGACAGCACTCCCCTCCAGCGCTCTGCCCTCACTGCTGTTGGTGCTAAACGTGGGCGATCCAGCCTGGGGCGATGGACGGCCTGCAGCACTGATGCTCAGATGGCTGGGTATGTGCTGGGGTGATTCACTCTGCCCTGGAACCTCTCTCTTTGCTGCTGAAAGTGGAGCAGGCAGAGCCAGGTCCACGGCACGTGGGAGTCGGTGTTGATCTGTCAAAGGCAGTGGAGTGGTGTTGATTTGCACCGGTTGAGGATCAGGCGCAGTGCTGCTGTTTCCTGTGGCTGACGCCAAACCTCCCTGAGATGTTCACTCCCAGGAATGGCCTGTTGCTGGGCTCCTTGCTGCCCTGGGACCAGCCGGTGACCTGTCAGTTCCTGGCTTTTCCCTTCCTGTCCTGATGGGTCTTGCCAAGCTCTAGGCAGCCGGTGTCAGGAACCACAGTTGACAGGCAGAGCAGAGTCTGGCGGAGCCTTGGTGGTTGTGAGGCTTGGTGCTCTTGGGCAGAAGAGTGCCTGGAGGCTGAGAGAAGCCCTTGGCTGTGCGGTAAGCTGTCTGGGGTGAGGGCACCAGGGAGCAGAGGGCTTGTAACACTATTATTATCCTCTATTAGTACTGCAGTAGCGCCTGATAGCTCCAGTCCTGACCCAGAGGGTTATTGAAAAGCTCATTCGGTTGGGGTCCCATTGGGTCCCACCTTCATCACTTCTCCTCTCCCTTTTGGACCAGAGCCCTCTTGGCCGATCACTGTGCCTGCAGTTTTATTCTGCTTGTCATTGCACTGTAATGAGGGCATGCAGTGTCCCTGGGTCCGCAGCACCGCAGCGTGAGCTACACTGGAGTCCTTGCCTGTCTAGCACCCTCCCCAGGGCCTTGGGAGCAGTGTTCCCTCTAATTTTTCCCACCCATGTGTGGAATGAATTTTGTGATGTGCACCAGTGTGGAGGTGATGTGTGACACATAACAAAATTCATGTGGTGGGGCCGAGGAGTTCCAAGTGTGGGAGGGGGCTCAGGGCTAGGGCAGAGGGTTGGGATTCAGGGGTGTGAGGGCTCCAGCTAGGGGTGCGGGCTCTGGGGTGGGGCCCGGAGTGAGGGACTCAGAGCTGAGGCAGAGGGTTGCGGTACAGGGCTGTGAGGACTCCGGCTGGGGGTATGGGCTCTGGGGTGGGGCCGGGGGTGAGGGACTCAGGGCTGGAGTAGAGGGTTGTATTCAGGGGTTGAGGGCTGCAGCTGGGGGTGCAGGCTCTGGGGTGGGGCTGGGGATGAGGAGTTTGGGGTGCACCTGGGCTGGGGGGGGAAAGTTGCCTCTTCCCACCATGGCAGCTCTGGGACTGGGGCTGCAGGATATGTGCCCCTCCCTTGGCCCCTGGAGGTCCGGCTGGGGTTAGGTTCAGAGTGGGGTGCCCCAGCCGCGGCAGGTCTGGGCCGGGACTGGGTTTGGGAAGGGTGCCCTGTGACAGGTCTGGGCTGGGCCGCTGCGGCTGAATCTGGGCACAGCCACCCAGGTTCACACCGCACTGCCCCAGCTACAGTTGGGTCCGGGCCACGAAACACCACCCTGGCCATGGCTGGATCCGGGCTGCGCCACCCCAGCCACATTTGGACCAGGGTAGGGCCACCCCAGCTGTGGCAGGTCCAGGCTGTGGCATAGTTGGGGCTGGAGTGCCACCCCAGCCATGGCAGGTTGGGGGTCGGGCTGGGTTTGGGCCCAGGGAAGGGCGCCCCTCCCCCAGCCACGGCGGGTCCCTGGGAGGGTTCCCTGAGCACCTGCATGGTGCTAAATAGGCTGCTGTGTGGCAGCACGGCCATGCAGCTTACAGGGAACTTAGCTTGGGAGCTGCGTGCCTTCCCTCTCAGGCTCCCTGGAGCGAGGAGAGGCCATCCAGGCATGGGTGGAACTGCAGGGAGCTGGGAGGGAATGGGCCTCATGCATGGCATTGTGTGGGGGCGGGGTGTGGGGGGGAATGCATGTCGGTCTTGTTTGCTGGGAAAGGGCAGGAATGTGCACAGGGCATCTCCTGCAGAAGGGCCCGTGGTCCTGAGTCTCTGGGAAGCCGGGAATTGGGCCTAGCTTGCCGGTGGCTGGCTGTGTCAGAGGGCACCATGGGGTGCAGATTGCTGGGGTGGGTATTTTCCTGGGCGGGGCTGGGTCAGCCTCACATACTGCTGCTCCAGGCCCAGAGGCGGTTCGGGGGGTGCAGGTAGACTTCCCTGCAGCATCCCCACAGGGACAGGGACTGGCCTCCAGAGCCATATGGGGGTGCCTGGCGCAGGGAGGGAGTGGGGCCATGTCCCAGGGTGGGAGCAAGTGGCCTGGCTCAGTCCTGTTTCTAGCCACTGTGGGGTCTTGGCGGCATTCTCCACACTGGGTGCCTGCAGAGTGGCTGGGCTAGTGGGAACGCCGATGAGGTTGGAAGAGCCTGGGTTGTCCTCACTCTGAGTGCTTCACAGCCTGGTGTCTCTGCTAGGTCAGCCTGGACGGGAGTACGCCGGGGACGTCAGTGCTGAAGGTATCAAGGGGGAGGCGCCGCCCAGACCCGCAAGCCAGCAGGTGAGTCCAAGAGATGCGCCGCTTTGCTGAGGTGCTGCCAGAGCTCGGCCAGAGTGGGGTGGCCAGGGGAGCTCCTGGAAGGACCCAGGGCAGATCGTCTTGGAGCTGTGCAGCTGACCTGAGACTTGCTCATTGCTAAACAGCTGGGAGTCAGGTTGTCTGCTTTGATCAGCTGAGAACCAGGGCCTGGTGAAGAAATCCAGCAGGAACCAAAGGCCTTTGGGTGCAGCTTGCAGGGTCAGTGCTTTAAAGGCCTCCCTGGGCACCGTCCAGCCCTGCCCCAGGCAGCTCAGTGACACATAAACCCTTCACAATAACCTCTCCTATGGCACCATGCTTCCCCTCCAGACCAGCCAAGGGCTTCCTGAGAAGAGCCCGGTGGCCAAGGCAGTGCAACCCGATCTCCTCACCCTGGCTCCCCTGGAGAGGGAGAGCAGCCTGCAGGCAGAGCTCCTCCGCGTCAGAGCCAAGAACCAGCAGCTCCTGGAGCAGAAGGCGAAGGTGGTAGGGGAGCTGTGGGAACTGAAGACTCTGATGGAGGAAGCTGGTTTTTCATCTCTCTCTCCCATCAGGTAGGACAGGCCGATGCAATTTGGGCATGAGAGCCTGGGGTCACGAGAGCATGTGAGGGCATCAGGCTGCAGAGCAAGGAGGGAGTAAGAGCAAGACTCTGTGTTACCCTCACACTTTAGGGCACTTCACCGTTACCCTTCTGTGGGCTCAAGGCATAACCTAGCTAATTTTGGCACCCCCACCCTTACCCATTTCCTAGGGCTCCCGGCAAAAGGCACCTGCCTATAACCATTTCCTAGAGCTCAGGGCCTAATCTTCTGTGGGTTTGTGCGGCCTGTTGCCAGTGAAAGAGCCTTACACAGGAATAGCCTTAACCTCTATTTATTAACAGTCACCAAAACAGAATGCACATGCTAAGCATACAATGCTCACCACTCCCAATAAGGCAGACAAACTTTTCCTGGTGGCCAGTCAGGATCAGGTCATCCGGGGACTCCTACACCCTGCCAATCACACTGTGCAGAAGCTGGAGTGTGGCAGCTCTGATCTTGGGCTGTGTCTTGGGGTTAGGTTCGAGAGAACTTCTGTTTGGACCCCAGTTTATATAGTTACATTTGAGTCCTGCTTAGCTCTGCCTTAACCAATCATTTTAAACTGAAGTCCCACAGAACAGTGTTTTCCACCCATCCTAGCCCATTACAAAACAGTTCTTTACCCAATCAGACCCCACCACCTTAGTTGATTTAAATTTTGTAAAATTAGTTATGCAACAGACAGAAACAATCAAAGAACCAGATAGGGAACCTACAGATAAACAATAGAGAAGTGGGGACTGTAAAGTCAAACAATAAAGAAAATAGAGATTTCACAATCACAGCTGTTGATAAGTGATTCCTTGCCAGGCAGAATGCATCAAACAAAGTTTTCTTAAGATCTGTTTCTTCGTCTGGCGATGGTTGGTACTATTAGGATAGGAGCCTCCTTAACAGCCCTTCACATTGTTTTTATGTAATTTAGATAGAATGTGAGGATGTGACTCTCTGCTTCCTAGCTCATGGCTGCTGCTCTCCTAATGTGGCTGCTGCTGCTTACTGTAGAAGAAGGCCTCAGACCTTACAATCCTCCCCTTAATGACACTTTTACCAAAGCCATCATTACTATTACAGGAGTCCAGCACTCAGACCTGTTGAGCTTGATCTTGCCTCCTGGGTATAATTAACAAGGGCCTTATTTGACTTTGTATGCCAGCTTCCTGTATTCTCTGAACAGTTCTCTTCATCCAGCAAGCCAAAGCTATTATGCTCACTATTCAAGCCAACTGGATTCCAATGATCACCACGATGGGGTGAACCACTATATTTAGCATACCAGTTGCAGTAGGCAACCACCCTAACAGTGTTTCCCAGCAAGAGTGGTCTCCTGCATCTACAATAGTTTTCAGCTCCTGGATGACTTTTGTATTATCATGCGGTACTTCAATACATATTTGCTTTCCTGTCTGCACAACATGTTGTAGATGTGAATATAACACAGGATGGGCCAACCATTTCCTTATCATGGTCTTATTCATGGCTATATGAACCTCAATTCTAAGGTTACAGGTGTTACATTGTGATACAACTGTGGTTTAAACTTTAAGTAGTTTACAGTCCACAAGGAAACATAGTATTCAGAATCACAACTTACAATTTTTGTAATAGTGCAAAAACATCTATTAACTAAATAAGTCATAAAATACAATTCCTTATACTATACGACTACCGTTGCACAGTGATTCCTAACACAAACACATCCCCTTCCTGCATATATAACACTGACTTTTGTTCAATGAATATATCAAATGTACATCTTTGTGTCCCTTTTGGTTTGAGCATAAAAACATTGATCTCTTTTTTGTAAATTTTGATCCTCACGCACACATCCCAAATTTTCATGGGCCACACACTGAAACATGTCAATGGTTTTCCATTGTTGATGTTCTTTATATGCCCAGGAATGATGATCAGCGGAATACATAACCAAATTTTTTTGCTAGCGGGATTCCTAGGGGTACAACTGGATATATATCAGTAGTTAGACAGGGGTGTTCTTTTACTACATATGCTCATAGAACCATTTGGTCTTTATTCAGTGTAAAGTTTACCAATTTGCACCATGCCATTAATTGTCTTTCCCATCCTGTAACATTTTTCTAACAACAACTTTATTTCCAAAAGCAAATTTCCTTGCTTGCCTTCCTGAATCATTTGGACAACCAATTGCTGACTTATTCCTTGGGCCTGTGTACAGGCTAATGCTAAGGACACATTTTCTTGAATTGTTCCTGTCAAGGCTGGTTCCCCACTCAGGCACTTCGAGTGCAGAAGGTGAGGGCCCTGACGGACTCTAAAAATTAATACTGGCCACTCCAGGCTTGTATTAAACCCCAAGGTTACAGCTTTTCTCTGACCTTGGATTGGTAGATGCTGCCACCACCCAAGTGCAAAACCCATGCCGCCCAGAGGATTCAGAGGGCCTGGGCCAAAGCAATTTCAGGGGGCCCCTTCCATAAAAAAAAGTTAGTTTTTGCCACCCCAAGCCGCGAAGGAAAAAAAAAGAAAAACCCAAGTTGTGCCGCCGAAGAAAGAAGAGGACAGGAGGACCCGCCGCCGCATTGCCGCAGAAGGCTGAAGCGGAGTGATTGAGCTGCCGCCGAAGTGCCGCTGCTGAGGAAGAGAGGTACTGAAAGACCTGCCGCCGAATTGTCGCCGAAATTGCCCCCACCCTGTCTGCGGGGCCCAGGGCCTGGGGCAAATTGCCCCACTTGCCCCCCCCATATGGGCGGGCCTGGGGCAAATTGCCCCACTTGCCCCCCCCATATGGGCGGGCCTGGCAAAACCCCTTTGAGAACTCAGGAAGGCACACTTGGGAATTCCTTTTTGTGGGGTACCCTCGAGTCCTTTCACCCTCACTCCAGGGAAGAGCTGGGGAAGAAGAAGGAAAAAAAAAGGAAATAAGCTGTTGCCACCAGCTAATTAAACAACATGTGCACAGACCTCTTAAGACACAAAAATCCAATCCTGTTCTTAAAAAAGGTAAATTTTATTAATAAAAAAAAGAAGAATATACATTTGGGAATTTAGGCTTTTGCTAGATTTAAAAAAAAAAAAAAAACAACTCCAAGGATTAAGCATCAAGAATCGCTTTCTTGAGGTCCAGCTTAAAGGTTACAAGCAAAACAAAAGCACCTGGGGTTAGCACAGAGGAATCCACAAGCCATAAAGAAATAAAAGGGAGAAACCTAACTGTGTCTTCCTAGACCAGGGGTGGGCAAACTTTTTGGCCCTACGGCCACATTGGGTACAGAAATTGTATGGAGGGCCAGGTAGGGAAGGCCCCCGCCCCCATCCCAGCCCCCCAGAACTCCCACCCCCATCCAACCCCCCCTGCTCCCTACCCCTGACTGTCCCCTGAGACTCCTACATCCTATCCAAACACCCCTGCTCTCTGCCCCTTGACCATCCCCCCCCCGGGACCCCTCCATCCAATCTCCCCTGCTCCCTACCCCCTGACTGCCCCTCTGGGGCCCCCTGCCTCATGTTACCTGTGGGGTAGGGGAAAGGGGGGCTCAGTCCTCTCCCAGTGCATTTCCCCTGCTCGTTTGGCTGCTCTCCCTGGCAGTCAGGCAGGGCTCGCTCCCTGTCTCGGCTTGGCTGCTGGGGACAGGGGCCAAGCATGCTGGAGGTGGAGGCGGGCCCTGGTTTGCTCTGCCCCTGGCCCTGGCAGCAGGGCCCAGGCCCCTTGACCTCCCCCCTGGAACTCTCCCTGACCTCGCTGCCCTGGAGTACGAGGTCTGGCTCCGCTATAGCCCTGCCGCCCAGCTGGAGCTGCAGCCATGCTGCCCAGGTGCTGGAGAAACTATGATTACAAGGGAGGGAAGGAAGCAGAGGGGAGGGGCCAGGGCTAGCCTCCACCCCGCTCATCATGCTGCCTGGGGGCCAGAGGGAAGGGTCCTGTGGGCTGGTTGTGGCCGGCAGGCCATAGTTTGCCCCCTCCTCTGTCCTAGACATTTCCTGATCCATTTACATATCTGGGGTTTTACATTAATAGTTTCTAGGTATGATACTGATGATTTTTCATACCTGGCCCAAGCTTCTCACAGCATAATTGCTCCCTGTCTGCCTCTCTGGGAGAACAACCATAGACAGAAAAAGGGGAGTCTTGTTTCAATTTTAAAAAGTTCTAGACTTCCCATCGGCTCTTCTGCCCAGGTGCCCACTCACTTCCTTTTACCTATGCATCGCAGTGAGACTTTTTAACCCTTTACAGGTAGAGCAATTAGAGAACAGCTACAAAGAGGGATTTACAGCTGCTGGCTGGGTGTTAATAAAAGGGAGCTCCCCCCACTTCATTTATCACAGTTCCCATAGCCTCTGCTAAAAGTAATAAATCCTTTTTACCTTGCTGTTGCCATACTGGCCGTATTTTAGAAAATAATTGTTGCCCCATTCCTAATTTTGATAAGGATGCACTGATGGGATTTCCATTGTTTGCCAATACCTCTAGGTTAGTAGCATCCCGTATTCCAACTCCTAATCCAGTTCCACCCAAAGCAGTTTCCAATACACCCCTTAGGAGCCTTTTCTTTAGGCTTGCTACCCCTCCTGGCTGCCAAGCATATCCAATAACCTTCAGGAAAAGGAGTACTTGTGGCACCTTAGAGACTAACCAATTTATTTGAGCATAAGCTTTCGTGAGCTACAGCTCCTTTTCTTTTTGCAGACTAACACGGCTGTTACTCTGAAACCAATAACCTTCAGTAGTTCACACTGAGGTAGTAGTAGGGCAGCTATACTTTCACTGGGCCTTTACTGTACTGCCCCTTGTACTAGTCAGGGAAGATGTTATAATGCCCTCTTCTTGTCCAGTATGGCCACAGTTATCCTGTGCTTACACTGGCGTGGTGTGTTCTGGTTCAGTGAAATAAGCCAAGTGAAATAAGCTACACAGCTCCTTATCCTTGGATAACTGCGCCCGTGTTAGAGGGGTTTCACTGCTTTAACTAGGGGATGTCTGTGATGATGTGACGCAGAAGGGAGGGGGGAGTGTTGACCTGGGAATGTGCCCTGGGGATGGGAGACCTGAGAGCCTGTAACCTGAGCCGGGAGGGGGAGGTAACACCTCTGCCCAGGAATGTGAACAGAGGCTGCAGAAGGGAGCCTGCTGGGGGGGTTTAGTTTTCAGTTTGGGGCTGGGTGGAGGAACGCAGGGAACCCCAGGGCTCGGGTCTAAGCTCCCTGTCCCCCAGAAGGACTTGACTGAGGGGTCCTGGTTGTACCCACAAGCTCTGTTTTGGACTGTGTTCCTGTTGTCCTTGGATAACTGCGCCCATGTTAGAGGGGTTTCACTGCTTTAACTAGGGGATGTCTACACTGCAATTAGACACCCCAGGCTGGCCCATGCCAGCTGATGCAGGTGAAGGGGCTGGGGCGAAGGGGCTATTTAATTGCAGTGTAGACATTTGGACTTGGGCTGGAGCCTGGGCTCTAGGACCCAGCGAGGTGGGAAGGTCTAGGAGCTTGGACTGCAGCCTGAGCCTGTACACCACAATTAAACTGCCCCTTAGCCTGAATCAGCGGGCACGGGCCAGCCATGGGTGTCTGACTGCAGTGTAGACATTCCCTATGTCAGCGAAACCTCCCCCTTCCCTGACTTAGCTATGGGCTAAAGCTTTCCAAACATGGCATGGCCTAAATCACAGAACTGCAGAGGGCATTCTGGGTCACAGAACCTACAGGGGCCTGGCAGAGCATGTCCCGGGTCACAGAAACCCCCAGGGACTTGGCAGACTTGCAATGTCCAGCTGACAGCCGTAGAGCCCTGGCCAGCTGGGGAGAGAGGTGGGGATGAATCACAATTAAATGGGAGGATCTGTGGGCAGGGGAGACACAGGGTGCTGGCAGGGCAATATGGGCTGAGGCCCAAGGCAGTGGCTGCAGAGAAGAGGGCGATGTGGACGTCTGCACAGCGCATCTCTCTTCCGGTGCCTGCGGGCCTGGGCCATAGTTTGCACTACAGCCTCCTGATCCTGAAGAAGTTTCCAGAGGGCGTGGGCCTCTCTCCTGGCTCCAGCCCGGTGGTGCTCCACCTCTCGCTGCCAGTGGAGAAAGGAAGTGGTTCCATGCACTGCGCCACCCCTCTGTGTGGCAACCTCGCTCTCCTGCCTAGCACGTCCCCGTGGCAAAAGGCATGTGGGGGCAGAGGTGGGCTGGGGCTGGGAGGGGCTGGGGCTGGTCTGCACCCAAGAGCCAGCTGTGCTGCTGGGAGGAGGGTGGGGCCCTCAGTGGAGTGCGGAGGGGCCAGAGTCTGTGCCTGGGGGGCATCCTGGGGAGGGATTCCAGCTGCTCCCTGTCGGGCACCATGTGGCTCCCCTTCATTAATATCTGTATTGTGCTAGCACCTAGGAGCTCAGTGGTGGCCCAGGCCCCCATGGTTCTGGCACTGTCCAGACACAGACAGAGTCAGTGTCTGCCCCTTGGAGCGGCCAAGCTACATATCAGACAGGAGACACGAGCTGGACACAAACTGGGGAGAACCAGGAGCCAGTGAGACAAAACTGGGCAGTGGGCTCCGCTCATCACTGGCCTGGCTAGTTGGCTCTTTGCAGGGGTCACGGCAGTGCGGATCCTGAAGGGAGGGTTCGAAAGCAGCTGGGGGGGGATTTTGCAGGTGGTCAGGGGGAAGCATCTCCCAGGCGAGGGGCAGCACAGATGTAACACGTGGGCGATGGCGGCTGGCGCCCTGTGCACAGCAGAGCTGGGAGGCGATGGTTTGCTGCTGACTGGGATGATGGGGTGGCTGGGGAGAGGCTGCGAAAAGGAGGACCATGGTTTGTGTGTGATGGAGACGGGGGAACCAATGGAGAGATGCGAAGAGAATGGGGATATGGTCGGGTGCCAGGCCAGGCAACGATCATTGCAGGGGCATTGGGAATGGCCAGGAGTCCTGCCAGCCACTTGGCCTGGCGTGCAGCTGCCCAGTGCCCCTCCCAACGCAGCATGGAGGGCAATCAATGGTCTGGAGAGAACAGGGCAAGAGGAACTCTCCAGCCCTCTCTGGGCTGGGGGATCTGTGGGGAGGAGACGTGGGGAGCTGCTCTGGGATTGGGTCATTTCAGGCTCCCCATGCTGACGGTAGCCCCTGTGTCCCCTGCAGGAAAGCCCTGCTGAGTCTGTGCCTGGAGACAGCAGAGCTGAAGGAGCGGCTGGGGGAAGCCCCGTTGTCAGAGGGTTGGGAGGAGGAGGCGGAGACCAGGGAGGCCCTGCACACCCAGAGCAAGAAGCTGCAGAGTTCAGAGACAGTCGTCACCCTCCTCAAGGACCAGCTGGTGCCGAACTGCCTGGAGGGCGAGAGCAAGTTTCCGCCCCAGCTCATCACCGGCATGGCCACGGAGATCGACCAGCTCCGGGCAGAGATGGGGGTGGCACCTGGGAAGCGCCCAGCCCTGGAGGGGCAGCTCCAGGAGGACCCAGCAAAGAGGCCCTGCCCTGGGTCCCAGGTGGTGGAATTGGGACCACCCCAAGCCCACAGGGGCACAAGCCAGGTAACTCCCTTGGCTTAAGGGGCTGGGAGTGGGAGAGGGTTCAGCCCTCAGCAAGGAGCCTCACCCAATTCAGCAGGGGGCAGCCTTCTCTGGTTCCCTGTTGGCTTCCCATGCCACGAGAGGGATGGAGCCAGCCCTGGGTGCCCCTGAACTAGAAGCCATTGCAGTAAAAGGGAACCTCATGCCACCTTCCCTGGCCAGCTGGGCTGGGGGAAAGGGAGGGCAATACGAGCACCTGGGGCAGCCCAGGCTCCTTCCCAGTGATCAGAATGACGCAGCAGAGCTGCCTTCACTCCCCCTGGCTTGCAGAGCTCAAACCTGCCACAGAGCCTGCTCCCCGTCTGCATCTGCCAGGGCAGCCGGCTTTTCAGGAGAGGCTGCCCACGTGGGCCATCTCTCTGCCCTGTCCCCTCTGTCTGTCTGCCGCCTCTGTGCCCCATGCCCTGTGTCTGTCTGCTGCCTCTGTGCCCTGTCCTCAGTCTGTGTGTTTGTCTGCCTCCTCTGTGCCCTCTCCCCTGTCCGTGTGTCTGTCTGCTGCCTCTGTGCCCTGTCCCCTGTCTGTCTGTGCACTCTGTTCTTCTGTCTCATTGCCAGTGACTCTGCCCCCAGCTTTGGCTCCAGACCCCAAGCTCTCACCGGGCGGGTGAGGGGAGGCAATGGGTCCTGGGTGCCTGTACTGTGTTTGGGGCTGCCCCCCACCCCATTGCAGCCTGAGGGAATGGGTGGGGCAGGAAGGCGATGGAGGGAAAGGCCAGGGGTTAGTTAGGTGACTCACACACTCATTGTTCCAGCTGCATCAGCGGAGGGGGCTGGCCAGCGGCTGTGTCACTGCTTCCTTCCTTCCCAGCAGATGGAGGGCAGCCCTGCGGGCAGCTGGCAACGGTTGGTGGAGCCCGGAGTAGGGCCGTCGGGGCAGCTGGTTGAGTGCCGGCAGCGCAACCAGGAGCTGCAGGACAAGCTGGCCGTGTCAGAGGCCACAGTGCGGGCCCAGGCGGAGCAGCTGGAGCAGTACAGGACCCTGCTCAGTGAGTCGGTCTCACGCCAGGTGCTGGCGGGTGGGGAGGGGGAGAGCTGCACTGGGGTCCCCTCTCCCTCTGAACCGGGGACAGTCAGGGTCCTGTCCTTCCTGCATCCCAGGGAGCTGGGCTGAGGCCAGGCGGGCGAGAAAATCCAGAACCACAGACAAAGTCTGGAACGGAGCTGTGTGGAGCGGCAGTCGCCTGTACTGGGGCCAAGGGAGAACAAGTGGGGCCCTTGGTCTGTGGGACTCCACTACAGTTATCTATCCCTGGGCTGGGGCCCTGCTATGCTGGGCGCTGCACAAACACCGAACAGACGCAGCCCCTGCCCCAGGTAGGAGGCAGCGTGTTCCCAGCAGGCAGCAGAGCCCCTATGGGGTCCTAGGCCCACTGGACTCACGCCAGAGGCCAAGGCTGCCATGTTGGCTCTTTGCCCCAGCAGGCGAGCCCTCGGTGCAGCAGGACAACAAGCAGGTGCAGGTGGACCTCCAGGATCTGGGCTACGAGACGTGTGGGAGGAGTGAAAATGAGGCCGACCGGGAGGAGACCCCCAGCCCTGGTAAGGAGCAAGTGGGGAGGGGGCAGGGCTGGGGGGAGATGGCAGCCTTTGGGCCCAGTCCCTGGAGCTCTGCCCCCGGTGTCGTCCCGTGCCCAGCAGCCCACCGGCACAGGCACCCTCACCACTTGGTTACCGGCAGTTTGTTTTAAAACAAGCTGCTCATCTTGTGGGACCTACAGAAAATCTCTCTGGTGCTCTGCAGTGGCAGTGATGTTACCCAGCCCTAAGCCCAGTGCTGCCCGGGGCTCCCTGGTGCCAGGCAGTCCCTCCGCCGGAGGCCTGTGTGTGGCTCTCCTGCTCTCACAAATCCCTCTGGCCCATCTCTCCATGGGGCTTAAACCCCCAGCAGCAGGGGCTGGGCACCCTGAGACCTCAGGCCTTCCTTTCCCTCCCCAGAGTGCGAGGAACCGGATGTGTTCAGCAAGGCCGGCCTGATGGAGGAGCTGAGCCGGCTGGGGCCGCGGGAGGGCCTGTGCTGGGGCCAGTCGGAAGACGTTGCTGTTCTGCAACAGCATGTGCGGGAGCTCAAGGTGCAGCTGCAGAACTCAAACAAGGCACTCCAGAGGCTGCAGCACCGCGCCCGCTCCTTCTCCAGCACCAGTGACTGCGCCTCGGGTGCCGAGCAGCTCCGCAAGCTGGTGCCCAGCGCCACCGACGAGGACGAGGGCTGGCAGTCTGATGGCGTTGGGGCCGTCTGCCCCCCTGCGCTCCAGGCCAGCAGAGATCTCAAATGGCTCGTCCACAGGGTGTCTCTGTTGGAGGCCCAGCTGCCTGGGCCCCGGGCAGGAGGGGTGCTGCCTGAGGAGCTGCGCTCTGCCATCTGGCCAGGGTAGGGAGTAGATAGACTCCAGAGCAGGTGGAGGGGGACAGGCCCTCAGCTGCAGGGAGCTGGCCATGGCTTCCAGGAAGTGATGCTGAGTTACAGCAGCTGAGACTTTGGCCATGTGGGCCATGCACCCAGGGCAGGTGTCAGTTAACTCTGGCATCCTCCCCTCCAGCAGGCAGCGGGTGAAAGGCCCAGAAAGGGGAGGCACAACCTGGCACGGACTCAGCATGGCTAGAACCATTGGGGCGGTGAGAGCATCTCCGGGCGATGGGCTCTGCTCTCCACAGCCATGCCCGGAGCGAGTGCCCTCGGGCAGCCGCTGAGGGATCCTTCAGAACCTGCACCCCCGCCCGGGCCTGTGTCTCAGGGTTAGGGACCTCAGGGCCTGGCCCTTTGCCAGCAGGAGGCTGAGTGTCAGGGCGGGCAGGGCACTGTTCTCGGCCTTGCTTTGCCTGCCTTTGCTGCACAGGCCAGAGGCTGTGGAGACTTCAGCTGTCTGGAGAGGAGGCCGGCGCCTCTTCTGACAGCTTGCTTGCTCTGAGGAGAGACGGTCTGAGAGCAGCCAAGCTGGGGTGCCGTCCCTCCCCCCGCCCTCTCTGCCCAGCTAACTTCCCCCTCTGGCTGGCTAACTCTCCTGCCCTCTCCCCTGGCAGGAAATATGACTCGCTGATCCAGGCCCAAGCACGGGAGCTCTCTCACCTGCGCCAGAAGATGCGGGAGGGGCGCAGCGTGTGCCACCTGCTCTCCCAGCACCTCAGGGACACCGTCAAATCCTTCGAGGAGCTTCTCCGAGGCACCGACATCGACTACTACATGGGCCAGAGCTTTCGGGAGCACTTGGCCCAAGGTGGCCAGCTGGCCGAGAGGCTGAGCAGCAAGCTGAGCAGCAGTGCGTGGCTGAGTAGCATGCCGATTTGGGGGCACCACTAGCTGGCGGAACTCACTGCCACTAGATCTCATTTGAGGCCAGGAGCTTAGGAGGATTCCCCAAAGGATGAATGTTTATATGGAGAGAGAACAGCCGCAGCTACAGGGCTAATCTTAATACTACATGAGAGGGGACATGGGCCTGCCTACCTTGGGGAATGACCGGGGTTGGAAGGAAAGTCCCTCAAGGGCCTGTTATCCCATAATTGCCCACTGCAGCAACTAGTGTGTCCCATGGTCAGAGACTGCGCTAGCCCCATCTGCCCTCCTCCGGCAATTGCTGTCTTCATGGTTGGCCGACAACAGCATTTCCCTGCATGTGCCAGGGAAGGTCCCTTTGTATCTCTCCAGCGCCCCACCCATGTCAGGGTGTTGCTGGGCAGAGCCGGAGGGTGAGGCCTGAGATGCTGAGAGTTGGCTGCGGGCCAGGGTCCCACAGATGGGGGGTTACCCCCTGGCATGGAGAGCGCTGCCCTGGTCCAGTGTAGCTGCATGGCCACTCCTCCGAGGATGGCTGGCCTGGAGCGCAGGGGGCAGAAGGCCCCAACACCGTCAGACTGCCAGCCCTTGTCCTCGTCGGTGGTGCTGGGCGGAGTGGGGCATGGCCTCTCGGTGACGGGGGCGTGATCTCTCGGTGTCACAGAGGGAGGGTGCTGTGCTCTGGCATGGGGGCCCAAGGGGAGCTGCTGCTGTGCCGCCCTCCACCCCTGACAAGAACCCTCTGGCTTTGCTTTCAGGGAATCGCTCTGACGTGGAGGATAAAACTGGACATGAATTCGTGGCGCTCAGGTAGCCACATGGGTGATTCCAGGGAGCCCTGGGATGTCTGCTCTGGCAGGGTGCCTGCCACACTGCATGGGGCTCAGGCTGCCTTGCAGAGCAAAGGGCACCGGCCTCTCCTTCGCTGACTGGCTGCTGGCAAAGGGGAGTCTGAGGGCCTCCCGGGGCTCTCCAGCTGTGCAGGGCTGCCCCTCCTCTACTAGCCCCGTAAGACTGAGCAGATAGGCCGGTGGAGCCCATTCCCAGCCCAAGGGAGACATTGGCTAGTGGCACGTACGCTAATACCTGCAAAGCTGTCTCCTTTGCGCCCCTATGTGCATGGGCCTGGCCATGCCCAGGACCCTGGGACAGGGCATCTGAAGACTTTCACTTCAGGGTGCGGGGGCCTCTAGTGAGGAACACCCTCATGAGAGCAGGAAGGGGCCCATGTGGGCGGATGGCCCAGATACTTGAGAGTGAGTGGGAAGCCGGGTGTGCTGAAGACAAGGCCATAAGACCCTGTAGAGAGAGGGGGCAGGGGAACGCACAGGCTCAGTGCGCTGTGCGAGGCCACCCCTACTATGGGACATGGGCACTGTGCGCACATGTAGATGCGGGGCTGATGTGTGCTCACTCCCAGGTTGAGCAAGGAGCTCCGGGAGAAGGAGAGGATGATTGAGACCCTTCAGGCCAAGCTCCAGGAGCGCTGCGAGACCCCATCCAGCAGCTGTGCCCTCTCTGAGTCACCCCGCTCCAACAGCAGCACCTCCTTCCTGTCTGACGGCCCAGAGGCCTGCTCCGCCGGGGATGCCACCAGCGAGTACAGCCAGCTCCAGGGGGATCGCAGCGAGCGGCCATCCCGGCGCCTCACAGGTAAAGTTGGGCGATTCTGTATCCCATGGACTGTGCCCAGGTAGGGGCTGACAGAATGGGGAGACTGCCCCGAGCCCTCTGTGCACTCTCAGGGCTGACCCAGGCATGCAACAGGAACTGGTCTCTAGTGTCCCGAGCCTGGTCCCTTCCCCACAGTGTCTCAGGGCTCACCTCCAGGCCACAGGCGATGAGTCTTTGATTCTGGCAGCCCCATGATGCTTCCATCCCAGCTAGTCCATCTGCCACTGGCTTCTGCAAAATAAAATAACACCCCGCAGCACACTAGCCCTTCCCCACCACGGCCAGTGGGTCACAAAGGATCCAGGCTTGTGCAGGGCCGCTGAGAGCAACGGGGGTACCTGGGGTACCCCACAGCTGCCTCCCAATTGGCTGGGCCTCTTGGCTAATGTCACAGCCACGCCCCACTGGGCACAGCTGAGCCCTCTTCACTCCTCCCCTGCACCCCCTGAGAGGGACTGATCCTGGGGAAGGAACTAGAACCCTTCCTGAGGCTGTATGTACGTAGCAAGAGCGCACGGGCATTGTCTTACTGCCAGCCCAAGGGAGCCACGTGCAGGTGTGTGGCCCTTGAAGGCTGATGGCACTTACTGGGGTTTTTCCCTCACTCTGCCCCAATCCCTGCATATCATTCTCTGGGTTATCTGTTACTTACGCTCTCAGATGTTCCCTCTAGGGGGGTTTCTGTACTTCTGGGCAGGACTTAACAACACTTGGCTCAGGCCAGGTCTATGCTACAGACATTGTCGGTATAAATACATGGATTCTTCACGCCTCTGCGCAGCGTTGTGATACTGACCTTAGCCTCCCGTGTAGACAGCGCAGTGTCTCCCACCGACACAGCTACCGCCTCTTGGGGAGGTGGATTAGCTATGCTGATGGGAGAGCGCGCTCTCCCGCGTAAGCACGACAGTGACACAGCTGCATCGCCTCACTCATAATGACCCTTCCAGCTCCTCCCTCTGAAGCATCTTAAGGTGCTGTCAGACGTCTGTGAATTCTTGGGATGCTGCCAGCTTGGAATCGAGGCTGTTTGAAGTTGTTCCCTGGCTGCCTCTGGCCCTGGAGTCCCCTGCCACTCAACCACGTTATCCTATAAAATACTGTTTTTCTCCCCTGGGTGGTTGTGTGAAGAGCTGCCCCCAAACACCAGGGAAGCTGGCTGGGAGGGAAGGGAGGTGGCACTTGTCTTCAGTGGCTTCTGGACCTGGTGATGATTAATTGACTGCCAATTAACACGAGGTACTTAACATCTTGGGGGAGCCACCAAACTTTGCAGGCTGGCTAGAGCTGTGGGAGGAACCCCTGTAGCCTTTACAAATGTGTTAAATAGCTTGAGTGAACTGATTACCAGTGCACTCCAGCTTTGAGAGCCCAGCCTGGCCTCCATCATGCAGCAGGACACAGAGTGGACAGAGAGCGGGACACAGAAAGCCTGGAGAGCTGGCTCTCTCCATGGTAGTTTTGTCTGGTTCTCAGAATTTCAGGGGTTACTGGTATCGCTAGGAGAGGGAGCACGCTGGACAGGCTGGGTTGTCGGCAGTTGCAAAGCCAGCAAAGGGGATGGAGGAGTTCCTGGGGCTTGTCTACGTGGCACGGCAAAGCAGGCCAGAGGGTTTGTGACTTTTAAAAGGTGTTGCACTCCGACTGCCCTGCCTAGACCCTGCTGGTGTGCTCCAAAAGGTACCTAGTGTGCCTTAAAGGGGCCTCTGGCTGCGTGCACTAGGCACCTTTTGGAGCACACCAGCAGGGGCTGTGCAGGGCAGCTAGAGGGCTTCACAAGCCACACCCCAATGGCGCACTTGGCTGGTGGCACCTAGATGGCCCATCCCCTGGGAGTAGCTGCTGGGACACTGATTACCCACAGCTGCCTCCCAATTGCCTGGGCCTCTTGACAGCCACGCCCCATTAGGCATAGCTGAGTCCTCTTCCCCCCTCCCCTGCGAAAGGGACTGTGCTCTGCGTACCAGTGGGGATGTCCAGGCTGCAGATGCGCGCAGCTGGCCCATGGGGCTCAGGCTGTGGGGCTGTAAAATGGAAACCCCGCAAGTGGGGAGGAATCTGGGGCCCACCCTACCCACACTCAGACATCTACACTGCAGTGTTAGAGGCCCGCAGCCTGAGTCGGTCAACAGGGGCCTGCTGTGGGGGGTTCGTAGCCGAAGCACCGGCCCTTTTCCATAGCCAGGCTTGGGGTGGGGGGAAGCCCTATAGATCAGAGATACACACCGCGGAGAGGTGTACTGCTGTGTGGTCTCCTTTTTGCATATTATGAAACTGAGGCACGGAGGGCCTGATTTGGACTTTAGTGTGACTCTAAAGTGGCTCTGCTGGAGCTAGGGGGCTTGCTGTAGGTTTACACCAGTGTAACTGGGATCAGGATCCGGCCCAGAGATTCTGAGCAGCCTGCCCAGTGTCACCAGGAAGCCGCTGCAGGATTCCACGCAGAACCTCTCTCGGCGCGGTGCCCAGGCTGTCCAATGTGCCCTGCTCCCTGTGGCCAGCAAGCGGGTGTCTATGAGGCAGGCTCTCGCCATGCGTGTGCATCTCCCATCTGTGCTGGGGTGCCGTAGGAATTCGGGGAAATACCCCACTTCCCCAGCCCATTCAGATTCGGGTCAGCAAGGGGCTGTTCTATGGAGAGTGCAGAGATGCCGGCTGGCTGGCCCGGGGGCTGTGTTATGTCCGGTCTCCTCCCTCTGCACCTGCTTTAGAGAGCTTGGGTCATGCGCTTCCTTCCCAGGGCGAGGGTCCCGTCAAGACGCTATGCCTGCCTTGGCCGCAGTGGCTATTGCCCCAGCCACCAGGGATGCAGCTGGGCGCTGGTGCGTGAGCCTGCACTGTGGCGTCGGCTCTCTGACATGACCCTTTCTCTTTCACCTGTGGGTCTCTAGACGTCACTCACCCTGCTGCTCTGGCATCCAGCCCATCCCCTGCCGCTGCACCCCACCAGGCTCCAGCAGAGTCCATCAGAGGCTTCCCCACCGGGCCATCTTCACAGCACCATCCCATGGACGGCAGCCAGACACGCACAGGTACGGGCCACCCCAGGGCTTCAGCAGGGATAATGGCTTTGCGGGCGGGGTTAGCAGAGCTCAGAGGCCAGTCCTGGAGGGGCTGTCCCGAGGGGTGGAAGCTGCTCCCCTCCAACCACCTCTCGTTTACAGAGGGGTGAAAGCTGGCTCCACCATGGCTGGCTCCTTGGCATCGTTGGCCCACCATGAGTGGAGAATTTTAACTTGGTGGCATCTTACTGGGGGTTCCCCTGCTGCCGTGCCCTTCTCAGGGCTGGGGTGTAACAGCGCTGGAAGGCATGGAGGCAGGGAGCCAGGCTGTGGGAGTGTCTGTGGGTGAGAACGTGCCTTGCAGATGGTTGGGGGCACGGACAGAGTGGCCGGGGGCTGGTTACCCTGAGAGGTGATCATGGCTCTAGCCCAGTCTGGCTGTAACTGGCTCCCTGGCCAGGCTCTGCCTGGCACAGGTGGCTCTTGTTGCCCCATTTGCTAGCAGGCTGCCGTCTGCAGCAGGAACTGGGGCAGGGGCTTAGCTGGAGCCCACGGCGGGAGCAGATACCAGCTGTGGTTTGCACCTTGGCTGGACAAGCAGGAGTTTGCGTCTGTGGGATTTCTGCGCGGCTGTTCGGAAGCAGGTTCCAACCCTGGATGGACTGGGCCTGGCCCGTTGCTGGGGAAAAGCACTAGGGGATTGCTAGGTGGGTGCAGAGAGTGTGAGCGCTGCAGGGCTCTGTCAGAGCTGGCGTCCCTGCCAGGCCGCCCCATGCCAAGGTGTGAACCTGCGGGAGTGCTGGTGGCAGTGTGGGACCGATGGGGGGACGTGTGATGAGGGACGGCTTCAGTTTAGCTTAGGGCCATGTTCCCTCTCGGGCAGGGGTCACAGCCGATTGGCCCCCGGGATAAGAGCTCCATTTCCTGCAGGGCAGCTGCTCGGATTTACCTGGGCACCAGGGCCAGCCCTGATGGCCGCAGGCGGTAGGGGCAGGGACAGCTGCTGGAGGTGCAGTGTGGCTGTCCCCTGGTTGTCATGGGGCTGAGGAGGCCATGGGAGATGCAGCATGGGGTTCATAGATTCATAGATATTTAGGTCAGAAGGGACCATTATGATCATCTAGTCTGACCTCCTCCATAATGCAGGCCACAGAATTTCACCCACCACTCCTACAAAAAAAACCTCACACCTGTGCTATTGAAGTCCTCAAATCGTAATTTAAAGACTTCAAGGAGCAGAGAATCCTCCAGCAAGTGACTCGTGCCCCATGCTACAGAGGAAGGCGAAAAACCTCCAGGGCCTCTTCCAATCTGCCCTGGAGGAAAATTCCTTCCCGACCCCAAATATGGCGATCAGCTAAACCCTGAGCATATGGGCAAGATTCATCAGCCAGATACTACAGAAAATTCTTTCCTGGGTAACTTGGATCTCACCCCATCTAATAGCCCATCACAGGCCATTGGGCCTATTTATGAATATTTAATTACCAAAACCATGTTATCCCCTCATACCATCTTCTCCATAAACTTATCGAGTTTAATCTTAAAGCCAGATAGATCTTTTGCCCCGACTGCTTCCCTGGAAGGCTATTCCAAAACATCACTCCTCTGATGGTTAAACACACCTTCATCTAATTTCTAGACTAAATTTCCTAGTGGCCAGTTTATATCCATTTGTTCTTGTGTCCACATTGGTATTGAGCTTAAATAATTCCTCTCCCTCTCCGGTATTTATCCCTCTGATATATTTATACAGAGCAATCATATCTCCCCTCAACCTTCTTTTAGTTAGGCTAAACAAGCCAAGCTCCCTGAGTCTCCTTTCATAAGACAAGTTTTCCATTCCTTGGATCAACCTAGTAGCCCTTCTCTGTACCTATTCCAGTTTGAATTCATCCTTCTTAAACATGGGAGACCAGAACTGCACACAGTATTCCAGGTGAGGTCTCACCAGTGCCTTGTATAACGGTACTAAAACCTCCTTATCCCTACTGGAAATACCTCGCCAGATGCATCCCAAGACCGCATTAGCTTTTTTCACAGCCATATCACATTGGCGGCTCATAGTCATCCTATGATCAACCAATACTCCAAGGTCCTTTTCCTCCTCCGTTACTTCTAATTGATGCGTCCCTAGCTTATAACTAAAATTCTTGTTATTAATTCCTAAATGCATGACCTTACACTTCTCACTATTAAATTTCATCCTATTACTATTACTCCAGTTTATTACTATTACTCCAGTTTACAAGGTCATCCAGATCCTCCTGTAGGGTATCCCTGTCCTTCTCTAAATTGGCAATACCTCCCAGCTTTGTATCATCTGCAAACTTTATTAGCACACTCCCACTTTTTGTGGCAAGGTCAGTAATAAAAAGATTAAATAAGATTGGTCCCAAAACCAATCCTTGAGGAACTCCACTGGTAACCTCCCTCCAGCCTGACAGTTCACCTTTCAGTAGGACCCGTTGTAGTCTCCCCTTTAACCAATTCCTTATCCACCTTTCAATTTTCCTATTGATCCCCATCTTATCCAATTTAACTAATAATTCCCCATGTGGCACGGTATCAAATGCCTTACTAAAATCCAGGTAAATTAGATCCACTGCGTTTCCTTTGTCTAAAAAATCTGTTACTTTCTCAAAGAAGGAGATCAGGTTCGTTTGGCACGATCTACCTTTTGTAAAACCATGTTGTATTTTGTCCCATTTACCATTGACTTCAATGTCCTTAACTACCTTCTCCTTCAAAATTTTTTCCAAGACCTTGCATACTACAGATGTCAAACTAACAGGCCTATAATTATCCGGATCACTTTTTTTCCCTTTCTTAAAAATAGGAACTATGTTAGCAATTCTCCAATCATACGGTACAACCCCTGAGTTTACAGATTCATTAAAAATTCTTGCTAATGGGCTTGCAATTTCTTGTGCCAATTCCTTTAATGTTCTTGGATGAAGATTATCTGGGCCCCCCGATTTAGTCCCATTAAGCTGTTTGAGTTTCGCTTCTACCTCAGATATGGTAATATCTAAGTCCATATCCTCATTCCCCTTTGTCATGCTACCATTATCCCTAAGATCCTCTTTAGTCTTATTAAAGACTGAGGCAAAGTATTTGTTTAGATATTGGGCCATGCCTAGATTATCTTTGACCTCCACTCCATCCTCAGTGTTTAGCGGTCCCACTTCTTCTTTCTTTGTTTTCTTCTTATTTATATGACTATAGAACCTTTTACTATTGGGTTTAATTCCCTTTGCAAGGTCCAACTCTACTTGACTTTTAGCCTGTCTCACTTTATCCCTACATGTTCTGACCTCAATAAGGTAGCTTTCCTTGCTGATCCCTCCCTTCTTCCACTCCCTATATGCTTTCTGCTTTTTCTTAATCACCTCTCTGAGATGCTTGCTCATCCAGCTTGGTCTCCAACTCCTGCCTATGATTTTTTTCCCCTTACTTGGGATGCAGGCTTCCGATAGCTTCTGCATCTTTGATTTAAAATAATCCCAGGCCTCCTCTACCTTTAGATCCATAAATTCTTCAGTCCAATCCACTTCCCTAACTAATTTCCTTAATTATTGAAAGTCAGCCCTTTTGAAATCAAAAACCCTAGCTGCAGATTTATTTTTATTAATCCTTCCATTCAGTTTGAACTGAATTAGCTCATGATCACTTGAGCCAAGATTATCCCCTACAACCATTTCTTCTATGAGGTCCTCACTACTCACCAAAACCAAATCTAAAGTGGCCTCCCCTGGTTGGGGTGGCGGGAGGGACTGAGATGGCCACGGGATGTATGGAGTGTTTTTGCCCTGTTGGGGGGCTGTGATGACCACGGGATGCACGCATGGCCTCCCCCTGGTTGCCAGGATGGCCACAAGAAGCATGGTGCGGCCTCACCCCAGTTGTCAGGGGCCCGGTATGGCTGTGGAGTGAATGGCACGGTCTGGCCCCAGTTGTTGGGGGGCCAGTATGGCCCTGAGAGTTGAGGGGCCGGTATGGCCAGGAGGGCATGGCATGGCCTTGCCTCAGGTGTCAGGGGCCAGTACAGCCCTAGGAGGCACAGTGTGGCCAGCTCCAGTAGTTGGGGGACCAGTCTGACTGCGGTGGACACGGTGTGTCCTAGCACCAGTTGTCAGGGGGCTGGAACAGCCCTGGTGGGCATGGTGCAGTCTGGCCCCAGTTGTCGGGGCACAGGTAGGGTCCTGGGGGGTGCGGTGTGGGCTGGCCTCAGTCATTGAGTGGCTAGTACGGCCCTGGTGGGAGCAGTGCGGCCTGGCCCCAGTTGTCGGGGGGCGATAAGGCCCTGGTGGGTGCAGTGCGGCCTGGCTAAGGTGACCAGGTGTCCGGTTTTTGACCGGAACACCCGGTCGAAAAGGGACCCTGGCACAGAGGAGGAGGTGGAAAAGAGGCGGGAGCAGGGCCTTGGGGAAGGGGGTGGAATCGGGGCAGGGCGGAGCAAAGGCAGGACCCCCCCACTCCTCCTACACGTACTCCCCCAACCCTCTGCCATGAGATGCTCAGGGCAGGGGGCTGGGAGCACCCCCAACCCCCTGCCCTGATCCTGCACCCCCTCACATCTCTGGCACCCTGCCCTCCCTGACTCCTGCACCCACCACACATACCCAGTCCCCCCACACCCCATTCCCTGACTCCTGCACACCCATCCCCACATCTCCACCTCCACCCTGAGCACCAAACGGGAGCTCCTACCCCCCCCCCCACATTCTCACCTACACCCCTCACATCAAATGGGAGCTGCCCCAGGTAAGTGCTCCACACCCCAACCTCCGGCCCCAACTTTGAGCCCCCTCCTGCATCCTAACTTCTGGCCAGACGAAGAAAAAAAGAATGAAAAACAGGGGCTGATGGGAAATGAGAAAATATTCTTTTTCTTGGCTGGGTCCCAAGGAGGGGCCCCCAAAATGAAGGTGAGCACAGGACCCCAATAACTCTAAATCCGCCACTGCCCTGGCAGCTCCGGTCAGCGCTGCCGGCCAGGCCATTGAAAGTCCCATCAGCGGTGCTGCCTGGCTAAGGCAGGCTAGTTCCTACCTGTTCTGACACCGCGCCGCACCCCGGAAGCGGCCAGCAGCAGATTTGGCTCCTAGGCTGGAGGCCATGGGGCTCTGTGCGCTGCCCCCACCCCGAGCACTGGCTCTGCACTCCGATTGGCTGGTTTCCGGCCAATGGGAGCTGGGGTGGGCGGTGCTTGTGGGTGAAAGCAGCGCACAGAGCTACCTACGCACCTCTGCCTAGGAGCCAGACTTGCTGCTGGCTGCTTCTGGGGTGCAGTACGGTCCATGGTGCCGGGACAGGCAGGAAGCCTGCCTTAGCCCCCCCCCCCCCCCCCCGCTGACTGAGAGCTGCTGGAGGTAAGCCTGCGCCCCAACCTCGTGCCCCAATCCCCGGCCACACCCCAGAACCTGCACCCCCATCCCAGAGCCCTCACTCCCCTGCCCCAGCTCCCTGCCCCAGCCCAGAGCCCTCTCCCGCACCCTGAACCCCTCATTTCTGGTCCCACCCCAGAGCCCACACCCCCGGTTAGAGCCCTCACCCCCTGCCCCAGCCCAGTGAAAGTGAGTGAGGGTGGGGGAGAGCGAGCCACCAAAGGAAGGGGAATATACTGAGCAGGCGAGGAAGGGGGAGGGGTCTTGGAGAAGGGGTGAGGTTAGGGAGTTCGGTTTTGTGCGATCAGAAAGTTGGCAATCCTAGGCCTGGCCCCAGTTGTCGGGGGGCCGGTACGGTCTGGGGGCCGCGGTGCAGCCTTGCCCCAGTTGTCGGGGGGCCGGTACGGTCCTTCAGGGTGCGGTGCGGCCTGGCCCCAGTTGTCGGGAGGCTGGTATGGTTGTGGGGGGTGCACTGCTGCCTCACCCAAGTGGCTGGATTTTCCAGGCAGCCCCAGTGCCAGCTGCGCCCCTAGGCTGGCTAATCTCTCTCCCCATCTCTGCTCTCTCTCCCATCTCTAGGGTTGCATTTTGACTCCTTGTCCAAGCCACTGAGCGTCCCTCTGACGCCTGCCCCTGGGCCGTCCTCCTTCCTGCCTTTCGGCCCTCCTCCTCCCGCCCCCCCTGCTCTCCTGGGCTGCTGCGGGACGCCTGTCTTCTCCTTGGCCGAGGTGCAGCAGGAGCTGCACATGCTGCAGAAGCAGCTGGGAGAAAGTGAGCGCCTCTGGCTTGATTCTTCTGCCTCCCCCTGACATGTGGCTCTGCATGGCTTTCGCAGCCCCCCATGCCTGCTCTGTCTGTCTGTCCTGGGCACACGTTGTCCTCACCCAACCAGCTGCTCCTGCTGCAGCCCCATTCCCAGGGAGCCACCCAAGGGAGGAAGCAGCAGAGAGGCATCAGCTGGTCTGGGCCCACTGGCACCAGCAAGGCTGAGGTGGGAGGGGGCAGGTGTCTGGGGGGTGGGCACTGCAGAGGGGAGGAGACTGGAGAAATAGTCATTCCCAGCTCCAGGACAAGCAAGGGAGAAGCTGCTTATGCAGAGGGACTGGGGGAGCAGGGCTGGGAACTTGGAGGGGGAATCCCTCCTGCATACTGTGGAGATTGGGGGGGGATAGGAGCTGACAGGGGGACCTCCCCCCCCTTACAGATTCATAGTGCAGAGACTGGGTGGCGGGGATAGGACCTGAGAGAGGGACCTCCCCCCTTACAGATCCATAGTGCAGAGACTGGGGTTGAGGGGGGGATCCTCCAGCCCCATAGTGCATGGAGGAATCATGCATCTCCCCAATGTAGCTGGGCAGAGTGGGTTTCAGGCTAGGGAGCGGCAGGATGTGAGAAACCCTCCTGGAGATGCTAGAGCCCAGGGATGCCTGGTGTCTGCCAAGGAGCCCCAGCCCATGTGCCCAGCCTGGCTCTGGCAGGACTCAGCTCAGCAGCTGGCTCCTCTGCCGAGACAGCCAGTGGTGGGGCCAGCTGCTGCTGGCTGAGGTGGGGCGGCTGGCTAGGGTCACTAGGATCTGCGCTGAGACCCCCTGACTCATTTCACCTAACAGGCACTGCAGGGGCATATCCCAGCTGAGCCGGCCTGGATCGGACTGACCCTGGGTGTCTCCCTTTTCCCCAGTTCCTCCAAGCTGCCCAGCCCCATGCTGATGCCACCCCAACGCAGGCTGGCTCTTGGCTGGCTGGCTGGCTGGGAAGGCGCTGGGCTCCCTGCGTGCTCTTAGCTTGTTGGCCCGATACCCCATATCTCTTGCTGCTCGTCCCCAGCCCTCGCCGATGCATGGCAGCGTGTTGGCTCAGCTTGGTGCCTGCCAGTGCCCTGTGGGTCGGTGCCACGGCTTGCTCCAGCTTGCAGTGCTTTGCGGCATGCGTGTCACGAGGCATTGTATTTCACAGCGGGGATGTCGGCTGCCCCAACGGGTGTGACGTGGGCGCTGCTGTTGGATGCCAGTGGGCTGTACTGAGAACGGGGCCTAGCGGGCACAGCACTCCTACGGCTTCTGGGCTTCATGCAGGGGTGGCGTGCGGGCTCTCTGGCCTGGCTATGGAGCAGTGCAGAACGGACAGTAGCGATCGTCCCCTCTGGCCTTTGTATCTGTGAGTGTGCCCTGGTCTGCAGACAGGCCTCTGGGCAGAGGCACTGACCATCTGGGCTGCTGAGGTTGCCCCTCGGATTATGGCCAGTGGGCCAACAAAGAGCCTGCAAGAAGAGCAAATGTTTTGGGCTGCCAGGACGAGCCAGGGCCTGGGGCAAGTGGGGAAGGCGTCCCTGGGTGGCGCTCAGCAGAGCCACGAGTGGCTCCAAGCTGGGCATGTGCACTCGGGGTCTTCCTGTCCGGGCACTTCCTCTGGGCAGTCTCTCTGGGGTAGGTCCTGCCTTCATCCCTGGGGTGGCAACCAGCCCTGCCCTTCTGTGGGCTCCGGACCCACCTCTGTCCACATCTATCTAGGGGGACCTCTTGCCGCACCACCAGTCAAACCAGTGCCACTGGCCGGCGACTTTGGGGAAGCCAGCACCTCCCGCTGTCTCCACGTTCCCCATCTTGCCCCACAGTCTCGCCCGCTGCAGAGCTCCGCCCAGCTGGACAGGAAAGCAGGGGCTGCCTTCCCGGAGAACAACCCCCTCTGGGCCCGGCCTCACACGGGGGCCCTCTATGGGCACTTACCCTCCGGGTATCCGGCCAGCCACAAGCTGACTGGTAAGAGCCGTGCCGCGGGGATGGGAGGAACCATGGGCTGGGGGAGGGCAGAACTGTGCCTTCCTAGGGAGCACGGTCTGGTGGGTGTCCTGAGGGAGGCGTGAAAGGGGCCGTGTGCCTTCTGTCCTGTAGCAGCCCCAGCCTGTCTCTGTAACCAGCTTCCTTTACCCTCGTCCTGCTCCCTGGGCCGTGGGGGACAGGGGCCAGCCCACGCAGGGAGGTGGCCCTGGTGCTCAGGAACCATCGTGCCCTCCTGGCCTGCTCCCGACTGAGCCCTGGCATCCCACCCAGCTCTCTGTTCCACTGGCGGCTGCAGGTGCTGACTTGCTGGAAGGACACCTGGCGGAGATCCGCAGCCTGCGCCAGCGCCTGGAGGAGTCCATCTGCATCAACGATCGGCTGCGGGAGCAGCTGGAGAACCGCCTCGCCGCCACCGCCAAGGGCAATGGTACGGGACGGGACTTCAGGGTGCTCCGTTCCCCCAGGGTTGGCAGGGCACAGCACTCTGTGCCCAGAAGGTGTGGGGGCGTGACGGGGGGGTGGGGGAACCCAGCACCTCCTGTGCCCAGAGAGTGTGGGGGAGTGACCGGGGGGGGGGGGGAGAGGAACCCAGCACCCCCTGTGCCTTGTGGGTGTGGGGCAGGGATCTGGAGGGGGGAGAACCCAGAACCCCCCCTTGCCCAGAGAGTTTGGGGCAGGGATCCTGGGAGGGGAACCCATCAAACCCTATACCCAAAAATCACAGGGTGCGGATCTGGGTGGGGTACCTGGCAAGCCCAGTACCCAAAGGTTGTGGGGCTGGGAGGGGCTCAAGGGCGCTGTTGTCCGCTCAAGTCTCTAGAACGCAAACCCCCAGGTGGGCGGGCACACCTGCTTCCCTGGGAGGGAGGGATCTGGCTGGGGCTCAGCTCTCTGTACCCTGCTCTCTGCCCCCATTTCCCAGGGCCTGATCCTGGCGGGGGACCCCTCATGGGGCCGAGCTGTCTCTTCTCCACAGCTGCTCCGTCCTCTCTCCTCCTGCTCAGCGTGGGCGGGTGGGTGGCCAGCCTTGGGGTGGAGTGCCCAGGGCTTCCCAGAGGGCTGGCCATGGCCAGCCTCGGGACACAGCAGTGGGCAGTTGGTGCAGACCCTGGGAGAGGCCCAGGGGCTCCGGCAGAGAGCATTGGCAGCATTGCCCCGGATGTCACGGTTGCTCCTGTTCCAGGGTCTCCCACCAACATCTACATCCAGGGGCTGGAGCCTGCGTCCCCAGTGAGCAGCGAGACCCGAGCCCTGCGGGAGGAGAACCAGAGCCTGCAGCTCCAGCTCGCTCACCTCTCCAGAGGTAGGGGCAGGGGGTGGCCAGCTGCACACTGCCTGGCACGAGCCCCTCTGCAGGAGGTGCAGCCCAAGGACAGCTCGCTCAGTGCCAGCCCCGGCTCTAGATCTGGGCTCTCTCTATGTGTGGGGCAGACCCTGCTCCTGGGGGCCCAGAACCGCAGGAGGCCCCCAGACCCAGCTGGGCCTTGCTTCTTTGGTAGGGGCCTCCCTGATCCGCCCCCCCATCGGGGCCTGTTGGCGGCTGCGGCTCCTACAGCTTCTCGCTCTGCAGATGCAGATTGGAGAGCAGGCCTGATGCATGGGCAGGTGCCATCCCCTTGGGCACAGTCCTACCTCTGTGGGCATCAAGCGCCCTAGATGTGCTGCCATGTGGCACTGGGCCCTGCCTACTCCAGGCATGTGGCCCCTCCCCTCCCCGTTCACCACCTTGGCCGTTACTGTTGGGCTTTGCCCCCCAGCTGCCAGGTAATGCGGCTCTCCCCTTGTCACGGAGTCCCCAGGCGATGTTCTGGAACTGCTCCCTATGAAGCCAGTCAGGACTCTGGGGAAGTCTCCTTTCTGTGAGCAGACTGTCTTCAGGACACCCAGCTCACACAACTTCCACCTTCCTGGGTCTGGCCTTAAGGCATTCAGCATCCTCTGCCCCTCTGTGTGCTTCCCTCAGTGAGTCCGCTCAGGCGGGGCTTCTGGGGAAGCCAGAAGGTCCTGCACCCCAACTTCGCAGTCAGACGTGACTCTCAGCCAGCCAGTAAAACAGAAGGTTTATTAGACGACAGGAACACGGTCTAAAACAGAGCTTGTAGGTACAGAAAACAGGACCCCTCAGCCAGGTCCATTTTGGGGGGCAGTGAGTCAGACAACCACGTCTGCGCTTCACTCCATGTCCCCAGCCAGCCCCCAACTGAAAAACCCTCCAGCCCCTCCTCCCCTGGGTTTTGTCCCTTTCCCGGGCCAGGAGGTCACCTGATTCCTTTGTTCTCCAACCCTTTAGCTCTCGCCTTGCAGGGGGGAAGGGCCAGGCCATCAGTTGCCAGGAAACAGGGTGTCGGCCATTCTCTGTGTCCAGACCCCTGCACACACCTGCCCTCTAGGGCTCTGCAATGATCATACACCCTTACCCCACCCCCTAGATACTTAAGAACTGCATAGGGGAAACTGAGGCACCCCCAAACTATTCAGAGGAAACATTAAGAACAGTCCCGCTTCATCACACCCCTCCTCCCCCCTCCCTGGGTAACGGGAGTCTCTCCTCCCCACCCGGGGTGGCGGGTAATGGGGCTCTTCCCTCCCCTGGGGCGGTGGGTAACAGGGCTCTCCCCCCAGAGCTGGAGCGGCTGCATGAGGCCACGCGCTGTAGGCTGCAGGAGGCTGAGGCGGAGAACCGGACGCTGGCAGAGGAGCTGGCAGAGCAGCGACAGAGCAGCTGTCAGCTGCGGGAGGAGCGGCTGGCTCTCCAGGAGAACAACCGCAGGTGAGGTGATGGTGGGAGTGAAGCCCTGGGACCCATGGTCTCGGAGCCCTGAGGCGTGGCGCTGTAAGGGGTGTGGCCACGATCACACCGCGCGCAGGCTGGCCCCCTGGCCAGCTGAGCAGCACCCCGGGGGCACGGGGTCCCGGCCCACTGGGGATTGTCGTGGCACCATTGCTAAGGGCTGTGATGTCGCTGCTCCGCACTGTGACATCACGGGGGGGTCAGCAGGAGAGGGGCGTGTGTGTGTGGGGGGGCCATGTTGCTGTGCCTCTGGTGTGCGGCCGGGCTCCTCTGACCCCGGCTGTTCTGTCACTGCAGGCTGGCGCGCACGGTGCCATGCCTTCAGCAGCAGTGTGAGGAGAACCAGCGGCTCTGCCAGGCCCTCTGCGCCGAGCTGCGTGTCCACGAGACCCTCTCCGGCTCCTCCCAGGCCGCTCCCTCAGGTACGTGCCAGCCTGTCCTGCCCGGCCTGCTGCGCTGGGGCCAGCTCTGCCATTGTGCAGGAGGTCAGAGTAGATCATGGTGGTCCCTTCTGGCCTAAATATCTATCTATGAATCTCAAGTGCCCCAGCGCCCTGGTTCCGGAGGGCCCTGCTGTCCCCCTTGCTGCCCAGGCCCACCTCTGCACTGGGAAGCCCATCTGGAGCAGCTCAGTGCAGCCCTTGACTCCGGAGTGGGGGCAGCACCTCCTACTGGTTAGAGCACGGCCCCATGTCTCAGTGTGCTTGAATTGACCAACTGCTCTGCGGCACTGACGGCAGGGGGCACACACCCAGCCTTGCCCCAGCGGCAGGGCGGCATACCTGGTGGCACTGCAGGGCTGGCTTGTCTTGGGAATCCACGGGCCTGGCCATCATAGCAACCCCATGGATCGGTTTGTCCTGCCTGCTGTCCCCTTGTGGGAGGCACCATGGTTGGTGCTGGGGTGGGTGTCCTGGCTGCCCTCCTCAGGCTTCTGTGGGCTCTGTTGTGCTGCCAGCCAGCTGCCAGGCTCTGGGCAGGGACAGGGACATGGGATGGGGTCAGGCCATGGTGGGCGTAGCCAGCTCCATCCCTGTCCCCTGAGCTCCCTAGGGCCCCATGCTCTGTCCCCCATGGTGGTGAGGTCCCACCTGCCTACAGTGGGGAGCCCCCAGAGATGGTCCCTCAGGTGGGGAGCAGAATGCCCCGTACCAGGCGCAGGAGGTGCGGGGAGGGAAGCTGCTTCCTGCACTGCCTGGGCCTGAGCTCAGCTCCCCCTGGGGTTTCCCCCACACCACGCCTGCCACCCAGATCACCTGTGAGCCAGGGACTCCCCACCCTCCCCGTCCTACCTAGTCCAGGATCTGCCCTGCCCTCCCCACCCCTCCCTGATCCTGTCCAGGATCTGTGCCACCTCTCGCACCCCCACACAGTCCAGGATCTGCCCTGCCCCACCTGCTCCACTCCACACTGTCCAGATTCTGCCCCACCCCAACCCTGTCCACGATCTGCCCTGCCCTCCCCACTCCATGCTGTCCAGGATCTGCCCCGCCCTCCCCACTCCACGCTGTCCAGAAGCTGCCCTGGCAAACAGCCTCTGCGCCTACCAGACGTTACAGCAGCCACTGGCCTGTGGGTTGATGCCCAGACAGCTACAATGGATCTGAGGTCGAGTGCCCCGATAGCTGATGTCGCTCACCTGCTAGCTGGTGTAGGGGTCCCAGCACAGGCCCTACATTGGGGACCCTGCCAGGGCCAGGCTCATGGACCTACAGCTGATTTCCAGACCCGTGGGGTTTTGTGCTCCCCACCCCCGTGTGGTGTCGAGCACAAAGCTGAGGTTTCTGCCGGGAACTTTGTGGAATATGCGGGGGTGGGGGGGATGGCCATTAACACCTTGAACCCTTGAGGTGCAAGCCGGGACCTGCGGGGCAGAGCTCGGCTCCTTTGGGGGCCTGGCTGTGCATCTCCAGACCGCAGCGTGGTGGGATTTCTGTCCCCCGAACCCCACCGGTGGCTGGGCTGGGTTGGACTAGTGACCCCATCCCTGCCGTGTTTCTCACCACCCTGGCGGTCCTCAACCCCACGCTGATGTGGCCAGGCGCCAAGCACACTGAGCAGCCTTTTCGTGCCCCCAGCATATCGCCATGCTAAGCCGGGGCTGGTTGAGGGCTGCCCTTCACTACCCTTGGTGGCTAGGGATGAGAGGATCCATGGGGGTGCAGGTACAGTGGGGGGCAGCACGCCAGCATGCAGGGAGCGGAAGGCGCGGCTGGCGACAGAGCAGCTGTGTGTGTTGGCAGCTTGCAGCAGAGATGCGCATCGCAGACCACCTCTCAGCAGCGAGCTGGACGCCCTCCTGGCAGAGGTGCGAACTCTGCGCAGGCAGCTGCTGCGCGGCATCCAGGTGAACAGCGCCCTGAGGCAGCAGCTGGCACGGCAGCAGCCGGAGGGAAGCGCTGCCCCTCTGTGCGCTGCACACCAGGCTACACCCGACTGGCAGCCCTTGCAAGGTAAGAGAGGCTGCACCAGCCCCTCTGGACCCCGCTGGCCCCTCGGGTGCCCTGATGCCTGGCCGAAGTGCCATTAACCTGGTAAATGGCCCCTTTGTCATCTCGCCTTTGCAGACTCCAGCTCTTCTCCTCCAGTTCGGGATGTTGGCATGAGCTCCCCAGCTCCCCTCTCCCCGCCCGCCCTGCTTAGCGCTCCGGCCCTGCTCACCCACCAGATGAAAGGTAATGGATGCGCACCCTCGCCTGGGGAAGAGCGGGGCCACCGCTGTGGAGGGTCCTGGAGTGTGGGCGGCTTGGCCCGGGCCCCATGGGCAGTGAGGGCGGGACGCTTGGAGCGCTCCGGGGCTGGGAGCCCAAAGGAGAGAGTTGGTTGGTCACACTCAAGGTGTTAAGGCTGGGAGGGACCATCTTGTCCCACCTCCTGCATAGCATGAGCCGGAGACCCTCCCCCAGGGGTTCCTGCTTGAGCTAGCCCAGTGGTTTTCACCCTTTATGGACTCCTGAAATGTTTTGAATGGTGATGTGGACCTCTTTGGAAATCTTAGCCATAGTCTGTGGGTCCCAGGGGTCCACGGGACACAGGTTGAAACCCACTGAGCTACAGAGACCTTCCAGGCTTGAGGCAGAGACTCCTCAGGGAGCAGAGAGAGGCCAGCACCTCCTGAGGAGATGGCTCTGGGAGCCTTGGATTTGAAGAGCAAGCAGGGCCCATTTTGCAAGCGGCGTCCCAACCCCCTGTTCCCTGGATCTGAGTTTCACACTCCCCTTGTCATGAGGCCAAGGCATGAAAGTGTTTCTCTTTATCCCCTCCCCCGGGTGAACCCTGCATTGTGCCCATGTCTCACAGGGCATCTTGAGCTGTGCCCTGCTGCTGGGATGCCAGCAGGGAACCAGGAGAGTGCAAAGCCACAGCGGGCATCCCTCCTTCCCCACAGAGAGGCTGAATCTGCAGGTGGCAGGTTCTCGGTGGGAGCCATACAGCATGGCGTTCTGGTGGCCCATCGGAGCTGGGCGTGCGGCGGGATCCGAGCGGTGGGCTGAGCTCGGAGGAGGCTAGGAGAGCTGGCCCCGCGCCGCCTGGAGAAGTAGCGATGTGAGGGCTGGGGCGATGTAGAGCTGCGGGATGCATGTTCGGGAAAGGTCATGGTCGAGAGCTTCAGAGATGGCTAGTGACTGCAGGAGTCCAGCCTGAGCTACATTAAAGGGTCCTGGGTTTGGGAGGACGGGGGCCCAGCACTGCTTGGAATCAGCCCCCCTAAGGTGGCTCAGGTTGGGCTCCCAAAACTGGGGGCACCCAGCCTCCCTCGTGATGTCTGGAAATTGTGGCCTGCTGCTCCTAGGACAGCCTGGACAAACAGAACAAGCTGTTTGGGGGCACATGGGGAGTGAGGGGCTAGGGAAGTGCCAGCCTGGGCCACATACATGCTGGTGCTAACCCCCCTCTTGGTGCTGGGCTAATGCAGCCCTGACGGGCTCTCAGGGACACCAGCAGTGCTGACCCCTCTTTGCTCCAGAGCTGCCCATGGACGACCCTCTGGCAAGGAGGAGTGGCCCTGCACCGGCGGGAGACGCCACAAGCGGTTTGTCTGCCAGCAAAGGCGGGTGCCAGGTCATTGGCCACGTTGATGACTATTGTGCCCTGAAGCAGCAGATCCTGGAGGGCAAAACGATGGTCCACCAGATGGCCTCTCTCCTGCGGCCAGCTCTAACCATGCCCAGCCTGGAGCCCCGTGGCACTGAGGTAATTCTCCCTGGACATCGGGAAGGGCCAGGCTGCTCTGAGCCCTCTGTCGAGAAGGGAAGGATCAGGGGAGACGCAGGCAGAGCCCTGCATAACGCCACTCGTGGTCCCGGCCAGGAAGCTAGCGTTTCAGGCTGCTCCCTCCAGCTCTCCTGGGGAACGCTGGCTCTGGGGGGCACTGGAGATGGCTGGAAAGGATCATGGGGGTCTGTCCCGACCTGTGTGCACGAGAGACCATCATCTGCCCGATGGACTCAGCTGGGTGCCCCGAGAAGGGGCATTTACTGCTAGGCTGGCCAGAGTGCGAGGGCGGTGGAGGCACTGGCCCCAGGGAAGGGGGCCAGATGGGACCTGTTTCCATCACTTCTGGGACTGATTTCAGAGCTATTTTGGCGCAGAGGGGGCCAGCCTGGCAACGGGCTATTGGGAACCTGGGCCGTTGTGCTGGGCAGTGCCCTCCCGTGAAAGCCAGGTGCATCGGGGCTCTGCGTTTGTCGTGATCACTGTGCTGCAGGGCAGTGTCTGCAACAAGTCTTCTCTCCTCCGCCAGGCCCTGGAGCGGGGCAGCATCCGGCAGCTCCTGAGCGCCACGAGTGCCCTGCGTCAGCTCCTGGAGCGGTGCGCCTCCCTGCTTGCCACCTTCTGGAGAGGAGCCCTGCCAGCAGCCCCCAGTCTGGCCCAGCAGCAGACCGCAGTGAGTGGCACCCTCCTGGCAGCCCTCGTAGATCATGCCAATGTCCCCCCGTGGTTGCCCAGGCAGCCCCCGAGAATCAGAGGCTCCCACAGATGGGAGGGTAGGGCTTGTCCAGGCAGCTTGTGAGCCGATGGGGATTAGGAGCCTGCCTGGGTGATGGGGCACTCCTGGGTGAGGGGAGCCCTCCACTGGGTGCTCCTATGGGAGGGCTGGGTGATGTTTCTCCTTGCCCGGGCAGTACCATCCCAATCACACATCGCTCTGCCCAGTCTGGCACACTGCGGGCCAGCCCAGACAGGGCATAGGGCCTGCTGCTGCCAGCCACTAGGAGACTGCTCTGTCTGCACAGGTATGGGAGGCTTGCGCATTGTGGGCCTGCTGGAGCAAGGGGCTAGCCCCGGCTCCCTCGAGCAGGGTCTGTCCTCCAGCAGAGGCTGCGGTAGTTCACACTAACCCACCTTGTTTGGGATGCTGAGCCATGGCCCTGGGCAGCAGGGGAGGGGGCAAGCGCCTGACCCGGGGTGTCTGGGAGCCAGGCTGTGGTTTGCAGAGGCACATGGCCCCTGCTGACTGTGCCCCTATCTCTGCCCAGGAGCAGGCAATGAAGGACGAGCTCCTGGCGCTCAGGGCCAGGTTAGCTGAGCAGGAGAATCTGCTCCGAAATGCAGCTGAGCGCCTGCAGGACACCTGCCGCCTGAAGGACAACATGGAGCACTTCATTGTCAGCCACTGTAGGTGCCCTGGTGGGACGGGCCTGGGGTGGGGCGGGAGGTGGGCATAGTCGTGGCAATGGTGGGCACAGAGAGTGTCCCCACTCCCCTCGGCGTCCGTCATTACACACCAGCACCTGCCACCAAAGGGGCCAGAACATGGCTCTGCATGGAGTCTGCGACTGGAGGGCTGGGAGCATCCTGCCTTCAGCCAGCCACCTGACATGGGTCAGTCATAACAGGCCGGCATCCCCATCCTGTGGCAGGGGCCATGGCTCCAATGCAAACCAAATATAACAGACAGACACTGCAGGGTGGCCCCAGCAGTGCCTGGTAGCCAGCTGGCTCCATCATCCCTCTGTCGCCGCCTGCCCGCTGTTATCAGGTATAGCCTGGCATTGCTGGGGTCCTGTCTGTGCTGGAGCCCCCGGCCATAGGGCTGGAGCAGGGGAGCACAGTAAGTAGATGGGCCCAGCATGGGCCAGGCCTGGCTACGCTGCTCTCTGCTCAGGTAGCTGGAGCCAGCTGGGGTTTGCTGCTCTGGCGGATCCTGCAATGATCGTGCCCCCGCACCCTGCAGTTTGGTTTGTGGGGAGCGATGCCAACGCTGACAGCCCTTCCCTGGGGTCGGGAGGGAGCGGTGTCCATTCTGATCCCCCCACCCCCTTTCTGTTGCAGTGACCCAAACTCATGCCGTGCTGAGGAAAGCAAGGACAAACCTGGAGGTGAGTTAGGGCCAGGGCTCCTCAGGGGAGGCAGCAACACCAAGGCAAGGGGACTGAGGCTGGCAGGGGGGTGCCTGACTGGGGGGAGAAGGGTCCTAGCTCTGAGCTGACTCTGGGGAGTGCAGCAGGGCTGAGCTCAGGCTGAGCGGGAGGAGGGAGGCAGGAGGGGAGGGAGAAGGTAGCAGAGCCACTGGGGGGGAATGAGAGCTCTGGCTCTGGTGCGGATGGAGAGTGGGGGTGGTGTGTAGACTGAAGGGGAGGAGCCTGAGGGGGGTGCAGGGGCCTTGCAGGGCCCATCCTTTCCCTCAACCCCTGCAGTGGGTCCCTCCCCCTACCCCATCCCAGGGGTCTCTCTCTCTCACCCCATCCCCAGGTGGGTTCATTCTCTTGCCCTGTCCCTGGGAGTGGGGTCTCAGCCCATCCCCAGGGGGGTCTCTCACCCCATTTCTCTCTTTCTCCTGAGTCTCTCCAGAAGAGCAAGCCCCAGGGCTCCTCTGTCAAATCTCCTCCCTCCATCGGCACAGGTAACGGCCCAGGCTGGTGCACCCCGTGAGCAGCAGGGCCGCTCTGCAGAGTGATGGAGGGGCCTGTCCTCCTTGCGTGGCACGCGGGCAGGGAGCGGGGTCTGGCAGGTGCCATCCAGGGCTGTGGGATGGGAGCAGGGCCGAGGCAGAGGAGCAAGAAGCACTGTCCGTGCAGCGCTGAACCGCCCTGGTTGGGCAGAGCCTCTGGCCTTGCCCAGCTCCCATGGTGAGGATGCCTGCAGCCCCAGCCCAGCTCTGCCATGGGCAGGGCCCAGAGCCTAGCAGCGGCTGGAAGCGCTAGAGGAAGGCCTGCTCCCCTGGGAGGTGTCCCCCCCACACACACACTGGTGGTGGGTCTCTTTGGGCCAGGGAGGGGCTGGATTGAGGTGCCATGTGACGAGTGGGTGGGGGCTGTTAGGGCCTCCCCTCGCCCTCCCTTGGTCCTTCTCACGCAGACAGAAAGCAGAAGGCCAGAGTCCAAAGTGCAGGCAGTGCGATGTTTATTGGGGTTACCAAGCAAGCCTATCCACACTGTGTCCACCAGTAAGGCTTTGCCCTTGTGCCCCCTGCCCTAGCAGGCTTAGTGCGCACCCCTGGTCCCACCCCTTACAATTTATGGTCATGTTCCGTTTTGGAGGGTCCTGAGTCTGGGGCCTTCGGTACCACCTCTTCTGTACCCCATGGGAGGGGTAGGGAGTGAGGTGGTGCTCCGGCCAGGGTCACCATTTCTTTGGCTTTTAGTGTTTCTTACCCCTTCCTCCCCCACCTCTCCTCCTGCCTGGTTGTTTGACCCCAGCTTGGGAGAGGAGTGAGCTCCCACCAACGCTTTACCTCTAGGCCTTATCTTTGCTCATTATGCTATAAACTGCATCTGGCTGTAGGCAGATGCAACACACAATGGCTTTGTTCACATCTGTTAGTAAGGACATAAGAATAACAGTCAAACAGACCCCAAAATTCTTGCTCCGGCAAATATACAGTGCCAGCACCGACAGGGCTGTGGGTGAGGCCTGGTTTGGCATGTGCGGAGCCCCTACGGCCCACCTCAAGCCTCCGATTGCAGAGCTCCTAGGGGGAAGGGTCCTGCCCCTCTTGTGCGCAGGCTGTGTCTGGGGTGTGGGCACCCCTGCCTCACATATGCGCCCATGCTCCTGCAGGGAACTGGGGAGGAAAGGAAGGGAGCGGAGGCTTTTTGCCCGCTGCGCAAATAGCTGAGTGGCTGGCCGTGGAATTGGAGGCAGCTCAGCCTGATGCTGGTGCTGCTGCTCCTCTGTGGCCACTGGGTGCAGAGCTGCCCACTGTCCCGCAATGGCGGCACTTGCAGGGCTGTGGGGAGTACTGGCTGCAGCAGAGAGAGTGGCTGGATGCAGGGGAGAGCTGGCAGGGCATTCACGGCTGGGGGGCTGCCTGGGGGAGCATAGTCAGCTTGCAAGAGTGTCCTGGGTGCTGCTCTGCAGGCTTGTCCCTGCCATCCCTCTGTCCAGTCTGGCACCCCTTCCTCCTGCACCCATGATGCTGCAGCAGGCCTAGTGCTGCCAGCTGCTTCAGTGGTGCTGGTTTGATGTGTCTGGGCTCCTAGCCCCATGTGGCGGGGGAGGGTAGCGTCTGATGGCTGACCGCTCCCTATCTTCAGCCTGGCTTGTACTTTCTCTCCAGGGGAAATCCCGGTGGGCTTGTCCCAGCACCCCAGCCACGTGATCCTGGCCCGCCAGGAGCATAGAAGGAAGAGGAGCCACCCAGACACCCTAAAGCGGCAGGAGGACCAGAGCTGGCCCTGCTTTGTTCACCTTCCCAGCTCCTGAGCACCAAGCCTGGCTGAGATGGCTCCCAGGCAGGGCCCAGCAAGAACTGCTGTGCCCCCACAGCGAGCCCACATTGGTGTGTGGCTCTGGCGTTGAACCCCTCTGCATGGAAGCAAACTGTAGACTGTATTAGGCTTGGCCCCTGGGCTACCACCAGACCTGTCTCGTACCGCACGGCCAGGGAGCCATGCTCGTTTGATTAATCACTGTTAACTGCTAGGAAATGTATCCGGGGTAACTGGCGAAGCTGCTTTCCCAGTGATTTCGCTCTCCCCCCAGCATGGCCTATCATCCTGCTGCCACACTCCCTCTGTTGTGGAACCTCATAGCCATGCGTGTGTGTTAGACCAGTACTCTGCCCCTGCCCGTGCCAGGGAGACAGGGTAGGTGGCCTCCATGCAAGCAGCAGACGGTGCAGGGTGCTGCTCCTGTGGCCTGGAGCATTTTGCTTGTGAGCTGTTTTCCTCCCAAGCCGGGTTATTGATGCAGCTGTTATTGTAGGGGTGGGAGGCTCCATCCACCCTGCTCTGAGGAAAACAAGCCCCAGAGAGCAGTGTGTGTTTATGCTGCTTGGCAATACAGCATAGCTTTGCCTGCAGGTCTTTCATGCTGGAACCAGTGCATAGCAGGGAGGTCAGGGTGCTTTCACCCTTCTCTGCTGGTCACTTCACCATTTGGCGATAAGCAATTTCTGAGGCAACATGACCAAAGTGTGAAATCCCTGTTAGCTAGAGCTGAACTGCTGCTGCCCCCCAGGGGCCCTGAGGGGAGACACACCCAGCTTAGGCCTGCTTTGGTGGGAACCATTTGTAAAGCAGCACTGGAAAGGGCCCCCCCAGCTTGGCCAACCTTGTCTGGGGTGAGTCTCTGCTGTAGGATATGTATATAGTGACTGAGTGTAACCCAGAGGGGAATGGGCTAAGGCAGGCCCCCCATGGGGCCAAAGTGGCTCCAACTTTGAGAAGAAATGAAGTTGTAAGAAATGCAGGGCTCCCTCGCAGGGGGAATCCTTAATAAACTTTTTTTGCCCATTGGCTACTGTAGATTTTGGCCTCCAAGGACCTTAATGAATAGTGGCATGTCAGTGATGCTGCCTCCCCCGCAACCCAACTCCCCTTCCACTGGAGCCCAGGCTGCTCCCACAGCTTTGCCAATGAAGGCTGCTGAGGGGCAGGCAGCCTCAAGGGCGCTGTCCCACATCCCCACACACCTGGCCATTCCCAGGGGGAGAGGGGTGCACTATCAGCACAGTGACAAGGACACCAGTGTGAAGAGCTTGCCCCCCTGCCCCAGTCTGGCTGAGTTTCCCCTGCAGTGACCTGCCCTGCATAAGCACGGCCTCCCTGCAGCACCTGCATAAGGCTATGCTGGCAGGAAGAGGAGAGTGTGGGGCACGTGCTCACAGGAGCAGCCCCAGCCCTGATACAGGACACACCCACAGCCAGTTTTGGCTCAGTACAGGCCAGGGGCCAGCTATCTCCAACGACACAAATGGCCAGCCTGGGTCCTTGGTGCAGCCCCTCTTCCTTGGCATGCAGACACAGCACAGATGAGGTCCCTCCAACTTCTGCAACAAACTTTATTAGTCACATTTTTGGGCCAACATCTTAGCCTGGCTTTACAAGTTACATCAAATCAGCAAGGGAGCCTAGCACATGTAGTGTCCCTCCCACCCCAAACCCAGGCTTGCACCCCCATCCCAGAGCCAGCAGCAGGCCAAACCCAGGGCATGAGAGAGCCCCCTCGCTCCAGCTACCAGCCATTGTGTTCAGCAGTAAACAGCTCTCCGGGCTGTTATCAGAAAGGGCTGAGGCGAACCTCCCCCCCACAGCGTCACTAGCCCTGTGCATCTGCTGCAGCTCCTGCGGGAAAGCACAGCCAGGAGCTACAGCACAGGCACTGACAGCAGGGCCTCCTAGGGCTTTTGCACTTGCTGCTCCAGCAGGGCAGGGCAGGACCGGGACCAGGGGGGTGCCTTCAGCTCGATGCTGGGGATTCCACCACCCCCGTGCAGCATGCAGGGACCTGACACGCAGGCGCCAGCTGTGACAGCCACTCTGCATTCCTTTGCTGTGCTACAGGCCTGGGCCAAGACAAGGGGCTCAGCTGCTTCCCCCTTGTGGTAGGCTGAGCTCTCCTGGGTGTGTGACCCTAGCACCAGGAGACCTGCCCCTCTTAGGCCCCTGCCTCCAGGACTGGGGACTGTGAGGGGCTGGCAATTGGAGCCCGTGTCAGCATGTCCTGGTCCAAGCCCTTTCCTTTAGCCAAGCCCCAATGCCTCGCTGCAGAGTGGCAGCTAAGTGGCCACAACACCCAGACTCTGGGCTTTCCACCTTGACAGCAACAGCCCCATACAGCTTGGCAGCATTGCCTCACTTGGCCCTCTGCCCCCTGCAGCTGACAGGTGCTCACAGGGACAGTTATCAGGGAGCAAGCTGAGCCTCTGGCTCTTGGTGTGGCCTGAGGCAGCCAGCATCTCTCCTACCCGTTAGCGCTAGCACCAGCCCTAACAGTGACCAGACCCCGCAGCACAGAGAGCAAGAATTAATCAATCAATAGCCTAGAGCCAGTGCCTGCCCTTCCCAGCACCGCAGCAGTGCTGGGCTGACCTGTCAGCGAGCCCTTACTGCCAAGTCCTCCCCACCCCAAAGGGGGAAGAGGCAGCCGCCCCAGAAGGACGGGCTTGGCCCTGCCTCCTTTTCCCCTCTAAGCAGAAATTTCCCTCTTGGTCAGTGAGCACTATGGCCGTGCTGGTGTGACTGGGCTGGGCAGAAGCTGCTACTGCGTGTCCAGCTTGGCCTCCCACACAGGCATCTGTGGCCCTTCCAGGGTCCAGCAGAGCTGTGGCCCCGCTGGAAGCTGCTACGGTGCATGCACAGCCATGCTCATCTCACCATCACACAAAGCAACCCCCCCCTCCCCTGGAGCTACTCCAAGAGGACTGGGAGCCAGTGCTCTCCTTGTGACTAGTAAAGTGCAACGGCGTACAATGGCAGTGCCCTCTCCCCACCCACACCCGCAAGCTAATAGCTGAACCTGGCAGAGGCTTAGCCCAAAGGGCTTGTGACAATGACACTCACTAAACATTCCTCAGGATAAGTGAACCAGGGAGGCTGAGCTCAACCACCAGTGCTCCCCCCAGAAAGAAGGGCTGCAGAGCCAGTGAGCTCTGTGGAGAACCTTGCACTGAAGAGTGAGAGAAGGGGCTCAGTGGGGGGCAGGCTGCACTGGGACCCTGGGAAAGCTCTTAGCCAAGATGGAACCAGCCACTTCAGCGCAATGGGGCAGGAGACTGTCGTCCCAACAGCGAGATCAGCTTCCAGGCCAAGAACCCCGGTGCATGAGAGAGCCTCCTGCCCAGACAGAGCAGCCCTGGCAGCTTCTGGCCACTAGCACTGCAGTTCTTCCCACAAAATATCCAGACTGGCACTTGGGAAACATGCGAGAGCTTGTGCAAAGGCCACGGACCCAGCAGGAGAGCGAGCTCCCAGGCTCCAGCCAACAGACATCTCAGCAGCTCAGGCTCTTCCTCTCAGGGGCACTAATTGCTCTGTCACAGCTGCAGTTCCTATGCTACACAGGCCAGGAGGGCAGCACTGAGCCCTTCTGCCATGGCCTAAACCTGGGAAATTCTCACCTCTTGGCCCCACAGAAGTCAAGGCTCAGCATTCTGGGGCCTAGGCCCACAGCTCGAGAGGGGTGGTGATGCCTGAGGCAGGCAGGATAGTGTGCGTATGTGGTGGTGGTGGTGGGGGAGGGGGGTTGGAACGAATCCTCTGACGCAGTGAGTGTGTGGTGTTGGAACTAACCCTGGTCTCTGCTCAGGGGAGCCAGGTGCACGTTCCAGTCCCATCAGCTGAGTGCAGGGAGGTAGGAAGCCAGCCCAGGCCTGCAGAGCTTAGGTGCAGACACCCCCTGCACTCTGCCCCGAGGCAGGCCATTCTGGAGGGCCTTGGCATGGGGTACAAAGGGAGAGTGACATGGCTCTGCCCCACCGCAGGCAACTGCTGGAGGAACTGGCCAAAGCCTTTACAGGCAGAGGGGCTGGGGAAGAGCTTTCAGCAGCTCCTTCCCTGCTGTGACTCCCCCGCTGGGAGCCAGGCAGCAGGCCAAGCCAGGGAACTCAGCAAAGCCAGAGGACTCCACAGAGGGAGGCTATGAAAGGGTCAAATCAAATCTCACCAACAGAATACTGAGGGAATAGCTCAGACACCCAGCAGGGCTGGGCTCATCCCCTTCCACCCCTGCCAGGTTCAGCTAGAGCCAACCACCAGTTCTTCGTAGGCCTATGGCCCAGTGCGTGCAGACAACGTGGCATTCCTCGTGTGCTACGCAGCGAGGCACACGATCAGATGGGCTTGTACAGCAGAGTGGTGACATACTTCTTCTTGTAGCGGTGAGTGGCACTGAGCACCATTACACCATCCTGCAAGAGAACAGAGCTGAGTGCTAGTTATGTGGATCACAGATGCACCACGGCCCCAGGATACTTCAGTGCCGGGACAGTTACACAGATGCAGTAAGGGGGAGAGACAGCTCCTAGCCAAGATCCGAGATGAGGAGAGTCACTGAGACAGAGAACAGGGAGCTGTTGCTAGCACCAGCAGTTGCAGAGACTGCTCTTGTGCTGGCTAGACTGCAAGAAGGCAGAGAGAAAGGTCAGTGCTAGGGGAGCAGAGGAATCCGAGAGCGGCACAGAAAGACGAGCAGAGACAAGTCCCTGGAGATAAATTCCAAGATAAATCCTGATGGCCATGCAAGGAGGCTGTGGATGACAGGAGGGTCTGGTAGCAGTGCTCTGGGCAAGCTGGAAGGCAGCAGCACCTGGCACTAGAGCTGTCGGAAGTTTTCCGACAAAAACTACACATCCTGGGAAAATGCCTATCGGCACAGTGAATCTGGCTGAATCGGTTACCTATTTAACTAAACACATGCAGGTCTCCCTACTCCCTCGCAGGGGGTGCAAAGGCAGAGTGCCAGGCTGCTCTGCCTCCCTGCCCCCAAGCTCCAGTGAGGGTGGGACAGATGAGAACCTTCCCTGAGAGCTGCCCAAAACGTTCTGCATTGATTCACCCCAAATGGAGTCTCTGGAAATACCAGGGGGAACTACAGGGTATCAATGGAAGTGACAGCGAAGCACAGCACCTGCAAGCTGTGATGAGCAGGGGTCAACAGGCACCTGGGACCAGTGGGAGGGGCTGGGGAGTTCAGGAAGACAGTGGAGCCCATGTGAGACTGAGCTGGGCAGACCGACAGAGCTGTGTTTGAAGCTGTTGCTTTTGCCCCAGAGAAGTGCTGTTCTCAGAGACAATAGTGAAAACCTTCCACAAGGCAAGCAGGGAGCAGTCAGGGTCTTCCAGCCTTCCAATCCCAGCCACCCAGGGTGACGGCAAAGCCCCCAGCCAGCCGCCTCGCCTCCTCCCCTCCTATGGCGCAGCAACAGCAGCTAGGCCAGCTGCAGGGACAGACTTTGGGAAGCCAAAGCCGCATGCACCTCACCATCAATCCCAGAGTGAGCCTTGCAGCTTCCTGCTCTGCCTCAGTCACTCAGCTCTGGGCTGGCACTCTGCCTGTTTGCCAGTTTCTGTATTGCCAGGGGCGTGCAGGGGTGTCTGCCCAGTAAACAAACCCACAAAATTAACCCGTAATTGACAATCCCTTTGGCTGGTGGGCAGATTCCAGCTACCGCAGAAGCTCCATAACTCAGGCTGCGATGCGATTTGTACATAAGCAGGATTCAGACAGTTCCACTTTTCAGAGTGTGTATTTTAATAGGAAGGACAGAGTAGAACAAGGTTAGAGGCCAATGTGGAACGAGGGAGCCAGGCTGGAACTGGACTAGGCAGCAGGCCAGGGAGCCCCACTGCCTCTCCAGCCCCTGTGATCAGCCTCCACGGTCCTACACCCTGGTCCACCTTGAACCACTAAAGTTTGCCAGTGCCAACTGCTTCAGTGCCCCCTGGCTCCCTCAACAGAGGGGCTTACTACAACAAACTGTAGCCCACTTAACCCCCTCTTTTTGTCCTATGACTGCAGGGATATTAACAGGCCACTCTACCTGGTATGGTCCCTTGCAATATATGCTACCTATGCTAAACAATCTATTCCACTTTGCATTTAGCAGTGATGCTCCCTTTCCCAGACCTGAAGAAGGGCTCCGGGATTTCTCTACACAGCAAAGACAAACTTGCGGCTGGCCCATTGCAGCCAGCTCAGGCTGTGCATCCGTTTCATTGCTGTGTAGACTTCAGGGCCACACATCACAACACCCTGTAGCAGCAGGAGAAGATCATAAAAGCAGGAGCCTCTCCTAGGCCCTCACAGGTGAAGTAGGTACCCCGCCATGTGACCACCACTTACCTTAATGGAGAGTGCGTAGAGGTGGTTGAGCATGACATGGTTGGGCTCTGGTAGAAGAGCTGGGTCACACTAGAACAAGGAGAAGGGTCAGTTTACAGAGGCGAATGGGAACTGGGAGCAGCAGCCACAGACAGGCTCTCCATGCGGAAACAACTCGCAAACACCAACCCCAGGCCATTCTAGGGTGTGCAGGAATCAGTCATGTCAGTGGACATTAGACTTACACTCTGGATTTTAGCAATGTTCTACTGTCTAGAGCAAGGATGGAGCTCAGGCTTTGCACCACAGAGAGCAAGGAGCCAACACAGAGCAGAGGTACAGCCTGCTTTGACCAGCACACAGCGAGGGCTGTCTGCTTGGATTGAGATAGAAGACCCCAAAGTGGGTCACAACCTTGTTTCATTGGGTCACCAGGGCTGGCATTAGACTTGCTGGGGCCCACGGCCAAAGCCCGAGTCCAAGCCCCACCACCCTAGGTGGCAGGACTCAGTTTACAGGCCCCCCACCTGGGGCTGAAGCCCTTGGGCTTTGCCCCCCCCCCCAGCTGGGGCGGCGGGACTCAGGCTTCGGTCCCCCATCCTGGGGTTGTGTACTAATTTTTGTTGTCAGAAGGTGGTTGCAGTGCAATGAAGTTTGAGAACCCGTGGAGTACTGCATGCTGAGATCCATGATGCCCTCAGGCTGTACAGGTAGGAGGACTGCAGCAGGACATGTTGCAGAACTTTGGGGGGCACCCTCTTGCCACCTTTGCTCTTACTGCAGAGCCTCTTAGCGTTCAGCACAAACTCCCCTGCTTGCTCCACACCCAGCTATGTGCCCACTCAGAGGGCGAGGCTGCTACTCACAGAGATGTTGGTGTCCTTGTTGAGAATGACTTGGAGGAGGTGAGGAGGGAGGATGGGTGGGGATTTGAAGCGCTCCTCCGGTCGATACACATACATTTCCTGGCCATAGAGTCCTGGTGGGGAGCTAGACAGGTCTACAAAACACCAAGGAGATGTGAAGGGAAGTGTCAGAAGCTTCATCACTTGAGACGAATTTAAGTGAGTCTGGACAAAGCTCTAGTGACACCTGCTGAGGCCCCCAGGCATGGACTAGAGGGACACAGCAGGGTCTTTCTAGCACTGGCTTCTTTAATTAACCCTGGATTGGCACTGGGCTGCAAGTCCAAGAGAGCAGACATGTGCAACAGAACATCTCAACTCCATGGCCTTGGCAACACCTTCTGCAAGCAGTGGCTTCCAATGGGGATACATCTAGGTGCCAGGACCATACTAAGGGGCTGCACTGAAGGGGTTATTTGAGAGTCACATTGCACTTATTTCCCACTCTAGCATAAGCCTCTGTATAACAGTGTTTTTCAAATAGTGCGTTGCGGCATGTAACACGCTGGGTTGCCTTGCTCTGATCAGCACCACCAACCGGGACGTTAAGAGTCCCATCAGGGGTGCTGCCCAGCTGAGGCAGGCTAGTGCCTACCTTTTCCAACACTGCGCTGTGCCCCGGAAACGGCCAGCAGCGGGTTCGGCTTCTAGGCAGGGGGGCTATGGGGCTCCACACGCTGCCCCTGCCCCAAGCACCAGCTCCACACTCCCACTGGCCAGGGGAGGGGTGAGGGTGAGGCACCGGTGGGCGAGAGTTGCGTGGAGCGGCTCGCGCACCTCTGCCTAGGAGCCAGACCTGCTGCTGGCCACTTCCAGGGTGCACTGCAGTCCATGGTGCCAGGACAGGCAGGAAGCCTGCCTTAGCCCCCCCCGCTGCACCACTGACCAGGAGCCACCAGAGGTAAGTCCGCACCCCAATCCCCTGCCCCAGGCCTGAGCCCCCCCCAAACCCAGAGCCCCTCCTGCACCCGAAACCCCTCATCCCCAGCCCAGAGCCCTTACCCCCTCCCGCACCCCAACCCCCTGCCCCAGCCCCCCCCAAACCCAGAGGCCCTCCTGCACCCCAAACCTCTCATCCCTCATCCCCAGCTCTGTTGGGTTGCGGGCATAACAATTTTCTTCAACTGGGTCCCCAGAAAAAAAAGTTTGAAAACCACTGCTGTGTAAGATGTATCAGCAGCAGCAGATGGGCTTCTCAAATGATCTACATCAGAGGTGGGCAAACTACAGCCCGTGGGACCCTCCTGCCTGGCCCCTGAACTCCTGGCCCGGGAGGCTAGTTCCCGGCCCCTTCCCTGCTGTTCCCTCCCCTGCAGGCTCAGCGTGCAGCACCGCTGGCACAATGCTCTGGGCAGCCTGGCAGTGCAGTTGCAGAGCTGCGGCCTGACCCGGTGCTCTGGGCGGCATGGCTGTAGCGCCGCCAGCCATTGGTGCTCCAGGCAGCGCAGTAAGAGGGCAGGGAGCAGGGGAGTTCGAGGTGGTGGTCAGGGCTGTGCACTGGGGTTGGGGCAGTCAGAGGGCGGGGAACAGGGGGGCTGGATAGAGAGCAGGGAAATTCGAGGTGGTGGTCAGGGGTCGGGGCAGTCAGAGGGCAGGGAACAGGGGGGTTGGATGGGGCAGGGGTCCCGGGGGTGGGGGGGGCAGTCAGGAAGAAGAGGAGGGCTTGGATGGGGTGGCAGGGGGAAGTTAGGGTGGGGAGTCTGGGGGTGGTCAGGGGACAGGGAGTGGTGGATGGGGCAGGAGTCCTGGGGGAGCCATTAGGGGCCGAGAAGTGGGGAGGGGGTGGTGGTGGTCAGGCCACGCCTGGCTGTTTGGGGAGACACTGCCTTCCCTAACCAGCTCTCCATACAATTTTGGAAACTGGATGTGGTTTCCAAAAAGTTTGCCCACCCCTAATCTACATGATTCGCTGCTGCAGGACTCCCTGACACATGACTGAACTACCAGTAAGTGATCCCAGGTCAACCTAGCACAGCTGGCACCTGGAGAGGTAACCCAGTGATCTTTGCTGCAATGTGAGCACAAAGAAAGTGGAGGTTTTCTACACAGATTACTACTAAAACAATTAACTCTAATCCTAAACCAGCCAGACGCTGATGCACAATGGAAGCTTCTGGTCCCAGCAGGGCTGTAAGATATATAGATGTCAAATATGTCTTAGATATATATTGATAATAGGTTATTATTATAGCCCTCTCTCTGCTTATCTACCCAGGAAGCAATCACCCTATTCTCCCTCATCTTCACAGCGACCAGGATTACCACCATGCACCCCCATGCAAATCCCAAACTGGAGCCTCCTCATGGAGCAACAGAGCATGGAAATCAATATGCACATCACCACAGGGGAACATCTTGTTGGGAGTTTCAATTAAACTAAAGGTTGAATTGCACAGTTCCCAGGAAAGGAGAGTTCCTAGACAGGAAATTCTCATGATTTGCATGTGGTGAGAATTCCCATCTGACTGGAAATTAAGAACCAGAGACGTGTGTAGAACGCAAATTGAAATCAGCTAGGAAGCTTGTGACCAAAAAAGTAGATAGCAACTCCCCAACGTGTAACTTTGGAATATCAAAAGAAATCGCTTGAAGAGGGAGAAATTCCAGTCAATAGTCTGGGTTAGTACAGAAATGCATTATTTGAAATGAATCAAACATAAAAAGCCTCCAATAAGAAAGAGATTGAAGATATTTGTTATATACAGGCACCATCTACTGGATACTAACAGAGGCGGAGAAACCAAAAGCTGAAATCTGAGCACTAAGACTGGCCAGTGTCAAAAAAAAAAAAAAGTTTTGGCCTCCTCCAGTGGACCCCAAAACAAGGCATATAAACCTGAGGCTACTGTATATACCTGTAATGCATGGCTAGAAAGGGTTAAACATCCTGCAAAATAAATAACCCATAGAAGACATGTGGGGAAGATAGTGTTTGTGTTTTGTATGAGTAGGGTCAACAATGTAATCAATAGTCCCTGTCTATGCTGTATTCTGATCATTCAGAGGTCAAAAGAAGATCCTATCATTTAAATGAATTGTAAACACGGGATATCTTGGCATTCATCTCTCTTTGAAATGTACTGTGAATGGTGGAGGAACAAGCAAATGGCCTTATATTAATTCATATAGCTAAATACCGGTGATGGACCTCCTTCAAAGTCATCCTAATTACCTTTTTGTTCCCCAAGGAAATCCCAACTTGTCAAAGAGGACATGAAATTGTATAAAAGATCCTTGGGTTCTGATTCTGTCATCTCAGATCTACTTAGGCTTCGTCAGGGGAAGTTCGAGTCGCAAGACTAAGGTCCCAGTTATGCTGGTACGCCCTGAATGTGAGATTTGGACATTGGACTATGAACTATTTGCAACTTCAAAGCTCACCATCTCTGCTATGAATCTGCACTTCAGTGAATTGAACTCATGTCTGTATGTATGTTGATCTTTTAACCATACTTTCTCTCTCTCTCTCTCTCGTTTTTTAATAAATTTTAGTTTAGTTAATAAGAATTGGCTGTAGTGTGTATTTGGGCAAGATCTGAAACATTCATTAACCTGGGAGGTAATGTGTCCAATCCTTTGGGATTGGTAGAACCTTTTCTTTTATATGATGAAATAAGATTTAAAGAAATTTTCATCATATTTGACGTGGGTACCTGGATGGAGGCCTGAGGCTGGATCACTTTAATGGAACTGTGTTGTTTGGACATCTGAGTAACCAGTAAGGTAATAAAAAAGCTGTTTTATGCTGGCTTGGTAAATCTAAGTACTGGAATATCCACCAGCTTTTTGGGGTTTGGCTGCCCAGTTTTTTGCCATTCACCCTAACTGAGTGACCATAGGTGGCCCCCACTAGGGCCCCGGTCACAGTACCCAAAGCTAGCTGTACCCCTGTAGACACACTCTCTCCCACCCCCCTCTCCAGAGTTACAGGACAAAGCAGTTGACTAAACCCACAAAGAAGCTGCAGAATCCAGAAGTGCTACTGATGCTTGGACCGACAGCATGGAAAAGACTCCCCCCGACCCCAGGGTTACCGGACTAAGAAGTGATGAGATTGTATTTCAGGGATTGTATTTCTTTCTGCTCATTAGCATAAATGACAGAGTTACCTTGTTAGGTCCACACTCTTTTTAGTGAGACCTCAACTAACTATATTTTGGCATTTAATGAATTAATGTTATATGTATCTTCCCATTTGTCAACTCCACAAATTGGCCTAAGAGACTTAAAACAACTTTAAGCAATTGCGCTTGATATTTTAAACTAGAACCCCTCATACCAAACAATTCCAATAGCAGTGACCACAGTATGCCCTAGGACCAGTGCACTCTTATTCCTTGGAGAAGTCCCAGAAGCATGTTCATGTGGGTGAGATTCCGTGGCCTGCATTGTGCAGGAGGTCAGACTAGATGATCATAATGGTCCCTTCTGACCTTAATATCTATGTATTACAGAGACTAAAGAATTGATAACTGATGATTGTCAGAAAATATCAGAAGAAATTTTGGTGATTTGTATTGTTCCTCACACTGGTTTATGTTAATTACATGACTGCATGCGTATTTTGTGTTCAGTACATGCCTAAATTATTGCTTGTATCTACATTTGGTTGATAAATTGTTGATTGTCCATTTATGTGGTTCTGGGTGAATTAATAAACTGCCAATTGGTTAAAAGCACCAAGTGTCCTGGTTGGAGAAACCCTGTCCAAGGTAAAAGTGATAAAATTAGTAAGCCAGTGCTCCTTGGACTCACTAAAAAGGGGTTATCCTAATTAAATTCCATTCCAACACTGCCATAATGCTTAAAATTGGCAAATCTAGTGTGTTAGATTTCAGTTTTAAAAAACTCTGGCACCTCAGCACCTTCACACAACTGACCCCCCCATTCACACTCATAAGGCTCAGATCAGACAACTAAATCACTCGCACTTACAAGACACTCAGACAGCAAGCTCTTCAGAGTGTGTGCATTGCACAGCATTGGGTCCTTGGGCAATGGTGCAATATAACAACAAACACTACTTCTCACAGCTGCGTGTCAGGCACCCACGCAGCTGTCAGCTGGAGTTCCAACTCAAGGGGCTCATTCCCCTTTGGTGAAATCAGTGTCATAGGAGCTCTGAGCAAGTCTTGAAGGAGGAAAGAGGCATGTGTCACAGTCAATGTCAGCATGCACGGAGTGCCATGAGAAATTTACCTCGACACGAAGTCTCTGAGCTCTCCAGAGAATCCACCTTTAATGCATCAAATACCTCGAAGTCAGACTTCTTGACGTGAATCAGATTGTTAATGGTGCCCATTTGGCTGGTGACCACAGGCTGAAATGAAAAGTGAAGACAGTGATCTACCTCCTACCTACCTACATCCCCTTCCCACTGACACACTCACACTCTTCCTAGCCCTCTCTCCCCCACCTGCAGATGGACAATCACACATCTCATTTATCTATCCCCCTGCTACAGTAGCACATACATCACCCATCCGTGTGTCAAACCAAGAGGCAGAGGTAGAGCAGATAACCCACAAGAGCTGCCCAAGGCTCAAGAGACACTATGTTGAAGAATGCCCTGCTAGACTCTGGGATGCAGAAGTTTCAGACTCTTATCTAAATACAGGAGCTCACAGGCATGCCTCATTAGCATGTTCTCACTGTTCACACCCTTTCGCTTTCCAATTACTCTCAATTTTGGCAATCTATGCAACTCCACCCCCACACTCTGCTTTAATAATCCTCTTCTGTAGGCCCATCCTCCTACCAGCAGATAACTAGATTACTATGCTCCCATTGCCCCTTTATCAGCTGTAGGCATCACTTCTGAGTGAGAAGATTAAGGGAACCAGATGCCCTAGTCTGGGTGGTTACACTGAAACTGGTTGAAAGGAATTCTGGTCCCCAACTGCCCCTTTTAACACTGTTGAGGGTCACCAGATGATCTAGAGTAGGGTTACATGATCTGTTTGAGCATGGAGCTAGGCCCCAGAAGGAATAAATCAGTGGAACTGGTATCTTATTTCCCATCCCTACCCCTCCTCACCCTACAATGTTCCCCGATCCCTTCCTGCTCTCTGCACCTCTGCCCAGGCAATGTTAAAGAAAAATGCCTTAATTTTAATTTCAAACCCAGACTGCTGCATGAGGGACTCAAGGCCACAGGGAGGAATCTGGTGTAATGCTAGTCCTAAGAAGCAAGGGGCTGGGACATGGAATCAAGCGATGGATGCAGAGAGGCTATTCCATTAGCTACATGCACAGAAATGCTTATGGGGTGAAACAGCCTCAACGTGTTACCAGAGTATAGAGAGGAACAATCAGTGCCGCACGAGTCAAAGCAGGGTGACGGCTGCTGGTGCTGTACCATCCTAGCCAATGAAAGAAAATGTTACAGCAGAAGCAGGGAGGATAGGCTGAACTAGCCTAGGGCATGGGGTGCACACTGCATTTCCGCAGCGCTGAGGCAGCATACTGAGCCTAAGAGGAGCACTCACTTTGTCTCTGGGGCGAGAAAACAGCTGAGAGTTACCTCTGAAGGGTCATGAACCCACTGGCCATCCACAAAAAACTTGTACTGGTGCTCGCCCTCGGGCAGGTCCAGAATAGCAACAAAATCATTGTGGCTGAAAGGAGAGAGGAGAAGAACAAGACACAGTGTTGTTACAGAAATAGCACCGCAGAAATTGCTCTTCCACAGGGTCACCGGACACAGCAACGGTCCCAGATAGTTCGAGCCTCCTAGTGCCTAAGCTCAGCTCACACAGTACTGATTTGGAGAGCACAGACAGAATTCCTGCAGTGCAAAGACAGCGCCTCTCAACCTTCCAGAGTCTGATTTTCCTTGAGTACCCCCAAGTTTCACCTCACTTAAAAACTACTTGCTTACAAAATCAGACATAAAAATACACAAGTTTCACAGCACACTGTTACTGAAAAATTGCTTACATTCTCAGTTTTACAAAGAATTATAAAATAAATCAATTAGAATATAAATATTGTACTTACATTTCAGTGTATAGTATATAGAGCAGTAGAAACAAGTCACTGTCTGTATGAAATTTTAGTTTGCACTGACTTCACTAGTGCTTTTTATGTAGCCTGTTGTGAAACTAGACAAATATCTGGATGAGCTGATGTACCCCCTGGAAGACCTCTCTGTACCTTCAGGGGTATGTGTACTCATGGTTGAGAACCATTGTGCTAAGAGACACTCCGCATCGAGAGACATCTCAACACATCACAGACCAGTCCTACCCCACCCACCTACACCTGCCCTGTACATTCACACACAACCTGAACCAACACCACACACATACAAATGTATGCACTGGATGAGGGCATGCTTGTGGCACAGCGTGGATAATTAAGGAACTTGCCAAAATTTCTAAATTCTACCTTAGAATTGTTTCGCTTGGACTGCCCCAAGCAGTCCCATAATGCCACTGGAAGATATGCTTGGAAGAATCCATATTCAACGATCTGTAGTTCCATGTTGACACCAAAATCATCTGCCCAGATTGGTATAGAACTGGGGAAGTTAGCATGGTTTTGTTACCAAGACTAAGTCCTTGAATTAATTGAACTGATTTATTACTTCTTGAAGATAGCAACGTCTCAAGTGGAGTTCAGTTTTTGACACTGTAGACTTTATAACCAACTTTATTTCACTTGCTGTAATTTTGTTGATTTTCAAAGCTATTTTGGCTAATAAAACCATAAAAATTCACCAGTCCATACTTCAGCTAAGGAACACAGCCCCGAAGAACAGTGAGAAATCTAGTAGAGGGAACTGGTTAAATATAAAACACTTTGGTTAAATAATTTATCACCCCTCTTCCTCAAGTTATTGCGACTTGCATGTGCAAAGGCTTCCCAGAGAGAGGAAATACCTTTTGATGAGTGGGATCTTGGCACTCCAGTTGTTGAAGGACCCAGAGATGAAGACCTCCTTGCCTCCATCAGCCCAGCGGATGACAGTGGGACGAGCCTGCTGTGAAGGCTTTACTGACTCTTCCAGATCATGCTGCCATGACATAAACTCCTTCTCCCCAGCAAGCTGCATGAAGGAAACAAGAGCCATCCCACAGCCTAGCCAAGGTGCAGATACAGCAGGGATCAGGGCTGGCTCTCCAGTCACATTGTTCCCCCATAGCCCTTCAGCACACATCAGAGCAGGAGCAGCGCAGATTTTCCAGCTCCACAATGCACCACAGATTACTCCATTTGTTGCCCCCCCCCGACATCTACTCCAGTGCTTTGACTTCCTCTCCACTTCACACCTCCTCTCCACTGCCCTCACCAACAACCTCTGTGTCCAAGTCACAAGACCCCTTTGCCACCTCATGGATCTAGGCACTTACACCGCCCTCCTTGCTGTAGAATCCAAATGCCTCCGTTCCCACATTCCTTGATCTATGCACTGTCTTCAATAGGAGGATGACCCCCTTCTCCCCTAGACTCTGGAGTCTGAGATGCAGCATTGCACCTGGCATTACATTATTATTGCTCCACTTCAGACAATAGAGCTGAGAGAATTTACCCCAGCTGAGGACGTGCCCAAGTCATTTCCTGATTTCTCTGTCCAAGCTAATGACAGCCTTTGCGTTGTGTCCTCTTCTCACTCTATTCTCTGGACCTTCTTCTAAATGGGCCCCTTTTCCTGCTACCCTTTGACTAGGAGCATTCTATACACACTGTATCACCCCTAAGCACTAACTGTAGCGGGGTATATTGTACACACCGCAAGGTAATTAGGCACTTACCAAATAAATAAATAAATAAAAGACAAATGTCATTGACTCAGATCTGCTAGAAAATGAGCTCAGCAGAGCTGCCAATATGGTGACCTGTATCATTGGTTATTATCCTGTAAGGATGGGGAATAGGACAGAGAGTCCAGCCCATACCTTGGAGTCAAGGGTGCTGAAAACATTGGGGTCATCAGTGCTGCCCACCATGATCTTGTGGGGATGATCCTTCGTGGAATGGGTGCTACTGGCTCCATCGGAGCGGTGAGATTTGGAGCCATGGCGTTCCCCAGACAGTCGATCACTAGTGGTGTTTCCCATGGCAGCTCTGCACCTGACTGAAGGAAAGAGGAGAAAACACAATGCCCCAGTGCCCACTACATACCCACAGGCGGGAAGGGAGATCTCTTGGTTTTCCAACCCCCCGCCCCCCATGTCAGCGTAGATTGATTTCAATCCATCATTTAAGTTTTTCAAGCAACAAAACACTTCTGCCAAATGAATTATTTGCATGATGGTTAGTGGAATTTCCAGTCAGAATACTAGAACAGTTTTGCATTAATTGAAAATAATTATGTACCACAGCCAACAGAGATGTATTTTTAGAGCATCTTTCACCCTGAAGGATTCCAAAGGGCTTTGCAGACTGCACACAGAAACCCTACACCCAGCAAGAAAACACAGCCACACAGAGTGAAGGTAGCAGCTGTTTGACAGCCTGCAGCAACACTTCTCGTTATAAACTGTTGTGTAGGGAAGAAGAATCCTGTGCCTAATTGAAATTACAAGGAGACTTTAAGGAGACAGAATGGAATTACCCAAGATGGAATTTAGCTGCAATGTCCTGGCCAACACCGTGGTGCCTATGAGAAGCTTTACTATAAAAGGATGGGGACGCTGATACAGCACGGGCATTTACTAATCATTTACCAGCCACACCAACATCAGTTTCAGGACAGGAGCTGAACCACAGCAAAAAGCGGTTTGCAAAATTGACTGTTTTGACTTATAATCACTTAAAATCTCTCTTCTGTATTCATGATAAATGAAGGGGGGGGACGGGACAGCTCCCTTTTATGGACACCCAGCCAGCCAGCTAGCCAGCTATAAAATCCTTCTTAGTAGCTGTTCTCTACTTGCTTTACCTGTAAAGGGTTAAAAGTCTCGCTGCTATGCACAGGTAAAGGAAGTGAGTGGGCACCTGACCAAAAGAGCCAATGGGAAGGCTAGAACTTTTTTTAAATTGAGAAAAAACTTCCCTTTTGTCTGTCTGTGGTTGTTCTCCCAGGGAGAAGGGGACAAAGCAGCAGTTATGTTGTAAGAAGCTTGGGCCAGGTATGAAAACCCATCAGTATCATACCTAGAAACTACTAATTTGAAACCCCAGATATGTAAGTAGATCAGGAAAAGTCTAGGAAGACGTGATTAGGTTTATCTCTTATTTCTTTACAGCTTGTGGATTCCTCTGTGCTAACCGCAGGTGCTTTTGTTTTGCTTGTAACCTTTAAGCTGGACTTCAAGAAAGCTATTCTTGGTGCTTAATCGTTGCATTTGCTCTTTTTTAAATCTAGCAATAGTCTGAGTACCCAGACGTATTTTCTTTTAATAAAATTTACCTTTTTTAAGAACAGAATTGGATTTTTGTGTCCTATGAGGTTTGTGCACATGTTGTTTAATTAGCTAGTGGCAACAGCTGATTTCCTTTGTTTTTCTTTCTCAGCTCTTCCCTGGACGGGGGGCAAGAGGGGGTGGTGGTGGTGTGTGAAAGGGCTTGAGAGTACCCCACAGGAAGGAATTCTCAAGTGCGCCTTCCTGGGCTCTCAAAGGGGTTCTGCGCTTGGATGGTGGCAGCATTTACCAGTCCAAGGTCAGACAGAAGTTGTAACCTTGGGAGTTTAATACAAGCCTGGAGTGGCCAGTATTAATTTTTAGAATCCTTGTGGGCCTCCACCTTCTGCACTCAAAGTGCCAGAGTGGGGAATCAGCCTTGACAGTAGTTAATAAGTTTGTTTGTTTATTCTACCTGAAGCAGTGTGTTTGGTTTGAAGCATGTCAGAGACTCCACTTGGGATAACAAGCCTTTGTTAAATTGACAAACTCATATAAGCTTGCAGCATTCAGCGGGCATAACTGAACACTGCAAGATGGAGGTTCCTAGGGTTGTGTCTGGGACCGGAGATATTGGCTAGTTCATTCGGTTGCACAATCCAAGCAGTGGCTGGCCAAAAGTGATCACTCACATAGCTGGGAACAGCTTACATGCTAGAGGCTGTGCATGGAACAGCCTGGGAGTGGGGTTTCTCACAGTGGAGCAGGGTAAGGATGGCTCCCGGAGTCGAGGATTGGCATGACCTAACTGATCACCAGTCCAGATAACATGAGGGGAACACATCTTCTTGTAAAAAGAAAAGGAGTACTTGTGGCACCTTAGAGACTAACCAATTTATTTGAGCATGAGCTTTCGTGAGCTACAGATCTGATGAAGTGAGCTGTAGCTCACGAAAGCTCATGCTCAAATAAATTGGTTAGTCTCTAAGGTGCCACAAGTACTCCTTTTCTTTTTGCGAATACAGACTAACACGGCTGTTCCTCTGAAACCTATCTTCTTGTAAGAAACCCAGCAGGCTCAGCAAGTTGCACAGATCTCTTCCATTCTCTGACGGTCATCACACAGATTCCCAACAGCTAATTACTACAGAATTTTTGCTTTACCTAGTTAATTTTACAGTGCCATTCACATGCCTTGAATTCTACTATGTTGACAATCACAGATCTGCAGAGCAAGTCATGGGGACAGCAAGCAAGGAATACTGTATTATTATTGGTGTTACTGTAGTGAATAGAAAAGGAGTACTTGTGGCACCTTAAAGACTAACAAATGCTCACGAAAGTTTATGCTCAAATAAATTGGTTAGTCTCTAAAGTGCCACAAGTACTCCTTTTCTTTTGTGGCTACAGACTAACACGGCTGCTACTCTGAAACCTGTAGTGAATAGATGCTTTCCCCACAAAATTAAAATCTTCACTATTTGGAGAGAGCTTTGCATAAAAGACAAAGTTACACGTTGACACTGGAGTTTTTGAAGAGAAGCTACATTTAAGTTGTTAGGGAAAACTATCTTTTTTTAAAAAAAAAATCTTTAGATTTCTTCACAAAGCAAAAAACCCCACCCAATTTACTATGTAGTTTTATAGAAAGTGACAAGGTACAGACTAACACTGATATTATTATCTTTAAGAGACTTAGCTGAATCACCCTACAGAGCAAGTGAATTTTGTTACCTACATAGCTGGTAAACAACAATTACATGACTTGATGTAACAAACAACAATAATAATAACAAACAGCAGTGAGAGAACATAGACCTGTAGTCAAACACATGTCAAGACAATTCAGGAACAAGCAGCTGTAACAGAATATTGTACACAGAAACAATATGCACTCGCCACGTTCAAGCATCCTAGGAGCATCCTTGGACATTAACTCTCACTTTGATATTATAAAGCTTTTAAAGGGGGAACAAACCAAAAAGCCAATCAATGAATTGCAATTTAGGGAGAAATTCTAGTCTCTCCAGGATTAAGACTGAAGCAAGACTTCCACCAAACTAGATTTTGACAGTAACTTCATCAAATCTATCTAATCCTACTGGAAATTTCACAGGAATTAATTTATAGGAAGGCAGAATTTTTCAGGAGATATAGGGTCCAAGATGGAAATGTGTTATTTTTTTGACTCCGCATAACTTCAAAACAGTTCAGATTAGTAAAGCCACATTTGTTCTAATAGTCAGTCCATCCCTTCTTTGTTATTAATAGTCTCTACATACAACTGCCTCCAGCCTGTTTTGGTGAGGACTATTTAGTTCTCAAGTGCTATTTTCAGGTATTTACAGTGTAAGGACATTTCTTGGTGTTCTGAACACATACCAATTTCAGGGATCTAGGAAGCATATGTAGCCCTGACCTGCAGGTTATAAAGCTCACACAGAGGACAAGCTTGTGCAGAGTTCCTAAGTATGTCCTGAATTCTATTTCCATCTCTTCCCTTGATTAGTCCTAATACTATTTACCCTTATATACCACTTTACAAACACTATTTACTTAGATCTCACTATAGTGCACAGAAGTAGATGAATGAATGTTTTATAGAGCACCAGTTGCTGTGATAAAAGTAAAGGTTAACTACCATGAACCACAATTACCAGACAGGGATGACTCAGAAAGCTTAAGGCCAACATTTCCAGACATATCAACTGTGGCTTTGTCTACACTAGAAAGGGTTCGCTAGTGTAATTATACAGGTACAGTTATACTGGCCAGCCCTCCTAGTGCAGTTTATCCTAGCAAAAGTTCTTCTGTAGCTATATCTTATCGTGATTCCTCAAATGAAACATGCTATACTTTCAAAAGGACTTTTTGGCATCTATAACTGCATCTATTCAAAAGCTTTTACCAGCATAACTATGTCAGCAAAACAAACCAAAACCACCACACCCCTGACTGACATAGTTATGTCAACAAAAGTTTGAAGTGTAGACCAGGCCTAAAATTGGGTTTCTACTTTGAAACATGCCTGGATGCTCAGATGCTGAGCACCTGCAGCTCCCAGAGGCATCTGTACAAGTGCAGCACTTCTTAAAGTCAGGCTCAAGGTATCTCAGTTTGAGCACCCAAAAGTAGCAGGAGGTGGTTGCAGCACTGTCCCACCCCATGCACACGTTTACCTGCCCCTTTGCCCTATATAGATGGATGAGCCTCCTTCCATTTACCTGCTTTTACAGCCCCCATCACACTGGTATCTAAGCAGCACAAGCACTCAGGAGACCTGGGTTCAAGTCCCAGTTCTGCTGAAGGCCTGCTGGGTGACCTTGGGCAAGTCACCTCCCCACTCTCTGCTTCAGTTTCCCCATCTGTAAAAGATACTGACCACGTTTGCAAAGTGCTCTGAGGTGATGAAGAATGCTAGATAAGGGCTAGGGATTGTTATTAATGAGTTTACCCCCCTGTGAGGTGAGGAAAGGCAATCCCAGGTGGGGCATGGAGGCCCAGAGAGACTGAAGGACTGGCCCCAGATCACACACCCAGTCTGGAGTAGAGCAGAGAACTGATTCTTATCTCATACCCCAGGTCAGAGCTTCATCAACCAGCCAACCTCCCTCCTCCAGGCCTGGCCACCAGGGAGGTGAGGGGCGGCTCCCTCACAAGGCTTCATCTGCACCTGTTCGCAATGTGACACCCCGGGGGCCTGTTCCCACCCCCGCCAAGACGCGGGGGGCTTCCCCCACCCCCCGGGCACAGCAGCTTCACAGCCGCCCGCTAACGCGGCTCCACCCCACCGCCCGGCCCCAGGCTCCGCGGCCCCCCCCGGGGGCCCAGTCTCCCCAGTACCTGGCCTCGGCTCGGCCTCCGCCTCTCTCCTCTAAAATGGCGAGACGCCCCCGAGCCGGCGACGGCCGGCAGCCACTCTATGGCCGGACTGGGAGACGCTCTGTCCAACTCCACCGGCTCCTCTATGGCCAGGGCAGGAAGCGGGACTTGGCTCTACGCCGATAACCTTGGACGGCCGCTCGCGCTGCTTCTTGGAACGGACACTCTATCTGCCCGGGGCAGGGCGGCATCTCTATGGCTCTACGAGCGGAGAGTAAGGCGTGCGGGTGCCCCCCCGCCCCGCCCCGCGGCGGTCTGCGCTTCAGCCCGAGGGCGGTGCTGGAGGGGAAAGACTTTCGGAGTCCGCCCCCTGGGGCAGCCGCCATCTTCTTTGAGGCTTCAGTCACATTGCAACCCATGGCAGATGGCAGCCATCTTTACTAGGGCGGGGGCGGCCGCCCTCTTACCCTGGAGACGCTCGCGGGAAAGGGCGGCCATCTTAACCGGGGGCAACGTGGCTTCACCCCGATTGAAAATAATGGGTGAGGTGACGAACGGGCGAGGGCGGCCATTGCGGCTAAGGGAAGAGTCAGGCATTTGGGCCAGGTGTGAGGGAGCAGACCCCCTGTCCGCACCCGCTCTGACCCAGGGCTCTCCAGACCCATACGCAGAGTATGCAGCCGTGTCGGGCACCAAGAAATTCCTGGTGCCCAAAGCAGCTGCGTGCTGCTCCGGCCCCTGCTCCACCCCTTCCCCATGGCCCCCGCCCCAGCTCTGCCCCCGCCCCGCCTCTTCCCACCCCTGCTCCGCCCCCAGCCCACCTCCACTTCACCCCTTCCCCAAACCCCCGCCCCTGCTCCGCCACCACCCCGCCTCTTCCCACCCCTGCTCCGCCCCCGCCCCGCCTCCACTTCACCCCTTCCCCAACCCCCCGCCCCTGCTCCGCCATCACTCCGCCTCTTCCCACCCCGCTCCGCCCCCGCCCCGCCTCCACTTCACCCCCTTCCCCAAACCCCCCACCCCTGCTCCGCCACCACCCCGCCTCTTCCCACCCCTGCTCCGCCCCCGCCCCGCCTCCACTTCACCCCCTTCCCCCAACCCCCACCCCTGCTCCGCCCCCGCCCCGCCTCCACTTCACCCCCTTCCCCAACCCCCCACCCCTGCTCCGCCACCACCCCCGCCTCTTCCCACCCCTGCTCCGCCCCCGCCCCCGCCTCCACTTCACCCCTTCCCCCAACCCCCACCCCTGCTCCGCCACCACCCCGCCTCTTCCCACCCCTGCTCCGCCCCCGCCCCGCCTCCACTTCACCCCTTCCCCAACCCCCCCCCCTGCTCCGCCACCACCCCGCCTCTTCCCACCCCTGCTCCGCCCCCGCCCCGCCTCCACTTCACCCCTTCCCCAACCCCCCACCCCTGCTCCGCCACCACCCCCGCCTCTTCCCACCCCTGCTCCGCCCCCCCCGCCTCCACTTCACCCCTTCCCCAACCCCCCCCCCTGCTCCGCCACCACCCCGCCTCTTCCCACCCCTGCTCCGCCCCCGCCCCGCCTCCACTTCACCCCTTCCCCAAACCCCCGCCCCCGCCCGCCACCACCCCCGCCTCTTCCCACCCCTGCTCCGCCCCCGCCCCGCCTCCACTTCACCCCCTTCCCCCAACCCCCACCCCTGCTCCGCCACCACCCCGCCTCTTCCCACCCCTGCTCCGCCCCCGCCCCGCCTCCACTTCACCCCTTCCCCAACCCCCACCCCTGCTCCGCCACCACCCCGCCTCTTCCCACCCCTGCTCCCCCCCGCCCCGCCTCCACTTCACCCCCTTCCCCAACCCCCACCCCTGCTCCGCCACCACCCCGCCTCTTCCCACCCCTGCTCCGCCCCCGCCCCGCCTCCACTTCACCCCCTTCCCCAACCCCCCGCCCCTGCTCCGCCATCACCCCGCCTCTTCCCACCCCTGCTCCGCCCCCGCACCGCCTCCACTTCACCCCCTTCCCCAAACCCCCACCCCTGCTCCGCCACCACCCCGCCTCTTCCCACCCCTGCTCCGCCCCCACCCCCCTCCACTTCACCCCTTCCCCAAACCCCCCCCCCGCCCCCCTCCACTTCACCCCCCCTCCCCACCCCCACCCCTGCTCCGCCACCACCCCCGCCTCTTCCCACCCCTGCTCCGCCCCGCCCCGCCTCCACTTCACCCCCTTCCCCAACCCCCCCCCCTCCGCCATCCCCCCGCCTCTTCCCACCCCTGCTCCGCCCCCGCCCCGCCTCCACTTCACCCCTTCCCCAAACCCCCACCCCTGCTCCGCCACCACCCCGCCTCTTCCCACCCCTGCTCCGCCCCCGCCCCGCCTCCACTTCACCCCTTCCCCAAACCCCCGCCCCTGCTCCGCCATCACTCCGCCTCTTCCCACCCCGCTCCGCCCCCGCCCCGCCTCCACTTCACCCCTTCCCCCAACCCCCCACCCCTGCTCCGCCACCACCCCGCCTCTTCCCACCCCTGCTCCGCCCCCGCCCCACCTCCACTTCACCCCTTCCCCAACCCCCCCCCCTGCTCCGCCACCACCCCGCCTCTTCCCACCCCTGCTCCGCCCCGCCCCGCCTCCACTTCACCCCTTCCCCAACCCCCCACCCCTGCTCCGCCACCACCCCGCCTCTTCCCACCCCTGCTCCGCCCCCGCCCCGCCTCCACTTCACCCCCTTCCCCAACCCCCCACCCCCTGCTCCGCCACCACCCCGCCTCTTCCCACCCCCTGCTCCGCCCCCGCCCCGCCTCCACTTCACCCCTTCCCCCAACCCCCACCCCTGCTCCGCCACCACCCCGCCTCTTCCCACCCCTGCTCCGCCCCCGCCCCGCCTCCACTTCACCCCCTTCCCCAACCCCCCCACCCCTGCTCCGCCACCACCCCCGCCTCTTCCCACCCCTGCTCCGCCCCCGCCCCCGCCTCCACTTCACCCCCTTCCCCAAACCCCCACCCCTGCTCCGCCACCACCCCGCCTCTTCCCACCCCTGCTCCGCCCCCGCCCCGCCTCCACTTCACCCCTTCCCCCAACCCCCCACCCCTGCTCCGCCACCACCCCGCCTCTTCCCACCCCTGCTCCGCCCCCGCCCCGCCTCCACTTCACCCCTTCCCCAAACCCCCACCCCTGCTCCGCCACCACCCCGCCTCTTCCCACCCCTGCTCCGCCCCCGCCCCGCCTCCACTTCACCCCTTCCCCAACCCCCGCCCCTGCTCCGCCATCACCCGCCTCTTCCCACCCCCTCCGCCCCCGCACCGCCTCCACTTCACCCCTTCCCCAAACCCCCACCCCTGCTCCGCCACCACCCCGCCTCTTCCCACCCCTGCTCCGCCCCCACCCCGCCTCCACTTCACCCCTTCCCCAAACCCCCCCCCCCCCCCCTCCACTCACCCCTTCCCCCAACCCCCCACCCCTGCTCCGCCACCACCCCGCCTCTTCCCACCCCTGCTCCGCCCCCGCCCCGCCTCCACTTCACCCCCTTCCCCAAACCCCCGCCCCTGCTCCGCCACCACCCCGCCTCTTCCCACCCCTGCTCCGCCCCCGCCCCGCCTCCACTTCACCCCTTCCCCAACCCCCCGCCCCCGCTCCGCCATCCTCCGCCTCTTCCCACCCCTGCTCCGCCCCCGCCCCGCCTCCACTTCACCCCTTCCCCAACCCCCACCCCTGCTCCGCCACCACCCCGCCTCTTCCCACCCCTGCTCCGCCCCCGCCCCGCCTCCACTTCACCCCTTCCCCAAACCCCCGCCCCTGCTCCGCCATCACCCCGCCTCTTCCCACCCCGCTCCGCCCCCGCCCCGCCTCCACTTCACCCCTTCCCCCAACCCCCACCCCTGCTCCGCCACCACCCCGCCTCTTCCCACCCCTGCTCCGCCCCCGCCCCGCCTCCACTTCACCCCTTCCCCAAACCCCCGCCCCTGCTCCGCCACCACCCCGCCTCTTCCCACCCCTGCTCCGCCCCCGCCTCCACTTCACCCCTTCCCCAACCCCCCGCCCCTGCTCCGCCACCACCCCGCCTCTTCCCACCCCTGCTCCGCCCCCGCCCCGCCTCCACTTCACCCCTTCCCCAACCCCCACCCCTGCTCCGCCACCACCCCGCCTCTTCCCACCCCTGCTCCGCCCCCGCCCCCGCCTCCACTTCACCCCTTCCCCCAACCCCCACCCCTGCTCCGCCACCACCCCGCCTCTTCCCACCCCTGCTCCGCCCCCGCCCCGCCTCCACTTCACCCCCTTCCCCAACCCCCCACCCCTGCTCCGCCACCACCCCGCCTCTTCCCACCCCTGCTCCGCCCCCGCCCCGCCTCCACTTCACCCCTTCCCCAAACCCCCCACCCCTGCTCCGCCACCACCCCGCCTCTTCCCACCCCTGCTCCGCCCCCGCCCCGCCTCCACTTCACCCCCTTCCCCAACCCCCACCCCTGCTCCGCCACCACCCCGCCTCTTCCCACCCCTGCTCCGCCCCCGCCCCGCCTCCACTTCACCCCTTCCCCAAACCCCCACCCCTGCTCCGCCACCACCCCGCCTCTTCCCACCCCTGCTCCGCCCCCGCCCCGCCTCCACTTCACCCCTTCCCCAACCCCCCCCCCTGCTCCGCCATCACCCCGCCTCTTCCCACCCCTGCTCCGCCCCCGCACCGCCTCCACTTCACCCCTTCCCCAAACCCCCACCCCTGCTCCGCCACCACCCCGCCTCTTCCCACCCCTGCTCCGCCCCCACCCCGCCTCCCTTCACCCCCTTCCCCAAACCCCCGCCCCCGCCCCGCCTCCACTTCACCCCCTTCCCCAACCCCCCACCCCTGCTCCGCCACCACCCCGCCTCTTCCCACCCCTGCTCCGCCCCCCCCCCCTCCACTTCACCCCTTCCCCAAACCCCCGTCCCTGTCCGCCACCACCCCGCCTCTTCCCACCCCTGCTCCGCCCCCGCCCCACCTCCACTTCACCCCTTCCCCAACCCCCGCCCCGCTCCGCCATCACTCCGCCTCTTCCCACCCCTGCTCCGCCCCCGCCCCGCCTCCACTTCACCCCTTCCCCAACCCCCACCCCTGCTCCGCCATCACCCGCCTCTTCCCACCCCTGCTCCGCCCCCCCCGCCTCCACTTCACCCCCTTCCCCAAACCCCCACCCCTGCTCCGCCACCACCCCGCCTCTTCCCACCCCTGCTCCGCCCCCGCCCCGCCTCCACTTCACCCCTTCCCCAAACCCCCCCCCTGCTCCCCATCACTCCGCCTCTTCCCACCCCGCTCCGCCCCCCCCCGCCTCCACTTCACCCCTTCCCCCAACCCCCACCCCTGCTCCGCCACCACCCCGCCTCTTCCCACCCCTGCTCCGCCCCCGCCCCACCTCCACTTCACCCCTTCCCCAAACCCCCGCCCCTGCTCCGCCACCACCCCCGCCTCTTCCCACCCCTGCTCCGCCCCGCCTCCACTTCACCCCTTCCCCAAACCCCCGCCCCTGCTCCGCCACCACCCCGCCTCTTCCCACCCCGCTCCGCCCCCCTCCACTTCACCCCTTCCCCAACCCCCCACCCCTGCTCCGCCACCACCCCGCCTCTTCCCACCCCTGCTCCGCCCCCAGCCCACCTCCACTTCACCCCTTCCCCAAACCCCCCCCCGCTCCCCATCACTCCGCCTCTTCCCACCCCTGCTCCCCCCGCCTCCACTTCACCCCTTCCCCAACCCCCCCCCTGCTCCGCCATCACTCCGCCTCTTCCCACCCCGCTCCGCCCCCGCCCCCCCTCCACTTCACCCCTTCCCCCAACCCCCCACCCCTGCTCCGCCACCACCCCGCCTCTTCCCACCCCTGCTCCGCCCCCAGCCCACCTCCACTTCACCCCTTCCCCAAACCCCCGCCCCTGCTCCGCCACCACTCCGCCTCTTCCCACCCCTGCTCCGCCCCCGCCTCCACTTTACCCCCTTCCCCAACCCCCCGCCCCTGCTCCGCCATCACTCCGCCTCTTCCCACCCCGCTCCGCCCCCGCCCCGCCTCCACTTCACCCCTTCCCCCAACCCCCACCCCTGCTCCGCCACCACCCCGCCTCTTCCCACCCCTGCTCCGCCCCCAGCCCACCTCCACTTCACCCCTTCCCCAAACCCCCGCCCCTGCTCCGCCACCACTCCGCCTCTTCCCACCCCTGCTCCGCCCCGCCTCCACTTTACCCCTTCCCCAAACCCCCACCCCTGCTCCGCCACCACCCCGCCTCTTCCCACCCCTGCTCCGCCCCCGCCCCGCCTCCACTTCACCCCTTCCCCAAACCCCCGCCCCTGCTCCGCCACCACCCCCGCCTCTTCCCACCCCTGCTCCTCCCCCCCCCGCCTCCACTTCACCCCTTCCCCAAATCCCCACCCCTCTCCGCCACCACCCCGCCTCTTCCCACCCCTCTCTCCCCACCCCACCTCCACTTCACCCCTTCCCCAACCCCCCACCCCTGCTCCGCCACCACCCCGCCTCTTCCCACCCCTGCTCCGCCCCAGCCCCACCTCCACTTCACCCCTTCCCCAACCCCCCACCCCTGCTCCGCCACCACCCTGCCTCTTCCCACCCCTGCTCTGCCCCCCGCCCCACCTCCACTTCACCCCTTCCCCAAAGCCTCCGCCCCCACTCCGCCTCTTCCCCATGGCCCCCACGCCTGCTCCGCCCCCACCAAACCTCTTCCCGTCTGTGCTCTGCCCCTGCCCCGCCTCCACTTCACCCCTTCCCCAAAGCCCCCGCCCCTGCTCTGCCCTCACCCCGCCTCTTCCTGCCCCTGTGCCACCCCCACTCCAGCCAGCCCTTCCCTTGAGGACTGCAGCAGGGGTTGAGCTGGGAACCTCACAACACCTGATAGGACACTGTCTAGTGAGATCACTCTGGCTGGTAATGGTCCTTAGTAGACTAAGCGTGTTTGATGGTGGCAATGAGCCATTTTGTTTCCTCAAAAAAATCTCAGACTCTCATCATCCCTCCTTTGTCCTAGATAGGCATGAATGAGGGTTGCGTGATCCATCACACACAAAGTATATGGTTAGTAGCTGTGACCACCACCTGACAAGCATTGTAGGCACACCAACTATTCGAGCCCGTCACTTTATAGGCTTCCCTAGGAAGGGCACATGCAAGGATCACACATAAACAGAGAGGTTTACTTGGTCAGGCTGAAGTAATGGAAGTGTGTTCAGAAAAGCAGACTGACCAAATTAAACACACTTAACAGATCCAGATAACAATAACAGCAAGACTTTTGCTTTAGCTTTGCTTGAATAGCTGTGTGCTGCTGGGACAAACCTACTCTGAGCCAAAGTCCTTCCTAGACAGGGATTCTGTGGTCTATAGAGCTCAGACCCTTCCCTCTACTCAGGGCTCCATCTCTTCCATGTGCGAGGCACCAAGTCTTTACCAAGCCTTAACTCAGGCCAGGCTCCAAGAGCTCCTCCTGCTCCCCCAGGGCCCGAGGGCTGCTGCCTTCCATGACACCCTTGTCCCTAATTCCACCCTAAAGTGACCTGTAGCCCCTGCCAGCATGGGACTGTAGATGCAGCTCCTTTAGGGAGAAGCACAGCATAGCGACTGAGTCTGCCTGCCTGCTGGAGAGCACACACAACAGTGATGGGTGGACTGGGCCGTGGGTTGCTCTGTGGAGGGACAATGGGACCCAAGAGAGCACCTGAGGGGGAGTTGTTTTTCTCAGCTACATGGAGAGGAAGCCATTTTCTGGTTCTCTCAGGCAGACGCTTGAAATTGACTTGGAGCCCTGCTCTGATCCAGGATGCTTAAGCACCCAGAAGCTGTAGCAAGCATAAGAACTAGAAGACAACAGAGCCCACAAGCCCCTCCTGCACTTGAGTTTGGGAATCAGCCATGACTCGATTCACCATGGACACCAACCAGCCAACTATGAATCTGCCAGCAAAGATGCCAGCCAAGATGCCAGCCTGCCCCTTGATCTCCAGTCACACTGCCTGAACCAGGCCACTGGAGACTTTGGGAATGGTCAGGGATTTCCTCTTATTATATCACTTGTTGTGGGGTTCCAAAACAGGGCTTGAATGGGACTTAACAGGCCTTGTGCACCGCTACTGCAGACTTTGCATTTGCATTAGAGCAAGTTTACCCTACACAGAAGACAGATTCAGAGGTGCCCACCATAGTCCAGTCTGCCCATATGAATGCAAAGGAAAGAAGGGAAACCATGAACTGGACTCGCAGCTTGAAAAATGACACTTGTCAGAAGGGAAAAAAGGACCAAGGAAAATAAGCAAAAGTTACAGCAACTAAAGCAACAATGAGAAAAATCTGAAGGTAGTAAGGCACCAAGGCACCTGTATAATCATCTAGGACTCTAGTTTTCAGAGGTTTAATGATCCGTTCTCTCTGGGTCAAGATGGCTTCCCTGGCTCCATCCCACTTCCCTGGCCTTCTCAGGCGATACTGGTATGAGGTGCAGGGGCCAAAGAAAACCTCCATGGCGAGCTTTGGATCCATGAGGAAGAGAGACAGGAGTTTGGGCTTGACCCCTGCCAGGCAGGCCACTTCATCCATGTACGGGATATAATACGCCTGGATGGTATAGCGCTGGCTTTTCACATACCTGAAATGAGAAAGAAGTGCAAGTGTCTCTGGAGTGTGGTCAAACGGAAACTGCACTGACCAGGAAATGACATTCCTGAGGGGTAAGGAGCTTCTATCCCTCTCTGAAATGTGAGGAGAAGGAGATGCTGATGTACTCTTGCTCCTTTGGATGACTCCCATTCATTACAAAGATTAGAGCTGCTTTCTGTTCATTGACTGTGAGAGAAATTCACCCCTGCACAGAGATCTCCTGGGCCGTAATTGGGACACAAGTGGCACGTTGATCTTCTGTGTGGAATAGGGATGAGTTGTACCTCATTCTCCTTAGAAGAGCTGGATACATTCTCTAAAGCAATTTTGGCCTCAGACCTTACTTGGCCTTCTACTTAAAATCTTTACCTGGAGCTTCCCAAATTATTCAACCCTCTGTGTTTAAGTAGAGCTGAAGGGCCAACCCTCCTAAAAGTTAAGTTGCTGCACAATCCTGAGGAGTGCTTAACAGCAAAGTAAAAGGGCTGGAAATTAACACCCAGCCGCCCACAGAGTTGTCAACACTTGCAAATTTGGCATGAGGTGTGTAATATTCTTAGGAAATTGGGGTTTAAAGGTTTTTATGACCTCATGATTGAGAGTTTGATGTGAGCAATTTTCAATATATATTCAGTATATCTGCCTTCTCCCATTATTTTCAGTGTGACTGAAGCCAAAGAATGCCCTCAGTCAAGATGGCCATCATTCCCCTTACAGATTTTTCAAGAGGTACAGGCTGCTCCCAGTAAAGGGGTCAGCAGGTCCAATCCCACTGGGAACAATGGAAGCCATATAGTGTCCTAAGTGAAGACAGCTGCCTCTGTACTGAAAGGGCAACAAATAGGAAAACTATAGGGAGGCAGGGGAATGTGGGATGCAAGAGGGAGAGAGAGAGAGGAATAGGTGGTGGCAGCAAGGCAGAATGTGAGGGATAGAATTCTGTAACAAGAAAGAGGGAAGAATATTTGGGGCAGATGGATAAACCTACTCACACAGATCATTTCTCCTTGTTTGGGGCTCAGTAGGACCCCGCTTCTTACTCACTCTTTGTGATGGGACATACTTCCCTGGGAGACCTCGAGGATGGGTGCATGAAATGCAATGTTTGTTGGCTAAAGGTCCTCATGGGGATAAAGGGAAGCAAAAAGTGAAGCAGGAAAATAGGCAGAAGTGGGTGGAGAGCTGACTGCCCTGGTGCCTTCCCAGCATGCCCAGCTGTTACTGATTCACGTCATAGTTCCTACCGTTTTGCCATTTCCTCTCTCTTCTGGGCAATATCAGCCAGCATGTCACTTGCTGAAGGCAATCTGTTCAGCCCTAGGAAAGAGAAGCCCAAGTCAGAAGGGAGATCCATGAAGTGCTCTCAGACACAGAGGCAACAGCTCCTGGGCAATAAGAGGAACAAAGAAAAGATAAAGAGCCCCAGAGGAAAAAAAGAGTTGTTTGTGCCTCCTCCCTCTTCCCCTGCCCCCAAATAAACCCTAGAGAGTAATGGCTCTTGAACTCTCAGCAACACCTCCTGCCCCCATCAAGGCTGCATTGGACTTCAAAAGGCAGGGAACTGGGAGTGGGTGTGCAAAGGAGAGGGCGCGAGAAAAGTGCAAAGTAACTGCAGCCAGAGGGTAAGAGAAAGCTAGCCAGACTCCAGCACCAACAAAGAGGAAGGGTGCAGGAGTACACAGAGAGCAGAGCTGGAAATGATCTTTTTGGGGGAGGTGACAGTTTTCACAGAAAGTTTCCAAAATAAAATAAACTGGCCTCTATGCGTCACAAAGAAGCAAAAAACATAATCAGATCACCTTTCAGTAGGAAGACAGCAGACGAAAGAGGGAGAGCAGCGGAAATGTTGCAAGATGGCAGGTTGTCCACCTGAACAGCACTGGCTTTAGGATTTCCTTGGAAATGTCTGTGCTTTCTCTGTCTAGCAGGCACTAGACTATTTCCTGCATTTTTGTTCACGTACCCGTGAACACACGTGTGGCCCAGCAACCCTGGAGTTCGGCAATGGGCATGACGGCTCCCAATGCCTGGATGAGGCCAATGAAAGCCAGAGTTGGCTTCTCCAGCTGAGGAGGGAAGACAAATTTATACAGGGAGACCTGGTTTTTGACCACTTTGGCACAATCCCCGAGGAAGGGGAAAGAGAAGCGGTATCCCGTAGCAAAGACAACCACATCAATGTCCTCCTCTCTGGTGCCATCTTCAAAGATGGCGCTGGTTTCGGTGAACTCCCTGACATTTGGTTTTACCAGCACCTTGCCTGAGATAATGCGGTTTGGCAGGTCGTCGTTGAAGGTTGGGTGCTGGCTGAAAAACCTGAATGGCACAAGGGAAATACAAGAAATGTGAAGATCTCTTTGGGCAGGAGATGACCTTCCTCAGGGCAGTAGGCTGCCAGAGAAAAGAGAACTATTTCCTCTCACACAGAATGTGCTAATACTGCAACTGGAAGTTGTGGGAAGGACACTTCAGGTTATTCAGTCCATCCTGCTGCACGTGCAGGATCGCTCCATGCAAGGAGTTCTATTGCTTTGTCCAGTCTATGCATTCACCACTTCCTCTGATAAACTCTTTTTGTTCTGTTTCTCCAGCATCTTGCACCGTGGGATCCTGGTCTGTGAGTAGGCCTCCCTGGTGCTACCATAAATCAATGAATAAATAATAACAAACAATTCCCTGGTCTAACAGCTTGCCATTTGCAAGTTCTTTCAGGTATTCAGCTTAAATTATCTCTTTAGGCCATGTCTACACTAGCACCTATGTTGGCAAAACTTCTATGGCTCAGGGGTGTGAAAAAACACCCTGAGCAATGTAAGTCTTGCCAGCATAAGCACTCATGCGCACAGCACCATGTCTGCAGGAGGCAGTCTCCTGCCGCCATAGTTACTGCTGTTCATTGAGCTCATTTTACTATATCAATGGGAGAGCTGTCTCCCATCGGGATAATGCGGCTACACGAGTGATCTTACAGCAGCACAGCTGTATCAGTACATCTGCGCCAATGTAAGCTTGTAAGTGTAGACATGGCCTTAATAATGTCATCCAGTACCATTCTGTTTACTCCCACATATCACGCAAAATGACTCCTCCCCTTCCTTGGCATTTTCATCCCACAAGGATATTTGTAACCAGAGGGATAGGGATGTTCTGGATGGTAGTAGTGGGAATAAGAGCTAGGCCCCAGGTGAGGCAAATGCTGACAGATTTGGTATAGCAGCAGCAGCAGCAATGAGAGCTGGGCCCCAGGTGATGGACAGAGTTTGGCTGGGGGAATCTGGCACAGCAAGGGATTGAACCCAGGCCCTAGAGACTCTAGCTGCAGGTTTGCCTAAGAGGAGCTCTGCCCCTCTCTCCAGTGCTTGACAGGCCCCAGCTTTCCACTCTCCTGTGGAGTCCGTGTGGGCGCAATGAACATGATCCTTCCCCTCCTGGCTCCACAGCCCGGAGAAAGTCTCCTGATCTCTCCAGCTCACCTGTGCGCAGGCTGCAAACCATAGATTGCATGGTTGAATTTTGCATTCAGTTTCTTTTCTGCAAAGTAGTTAAGCAGGGATAGAGGTACAATGCGCATGAGGAATTCCATATAGCGAGTGATATAAATTGTGTCCAGGGGGTACCCTTCTTCTCCAATCCGACCAAGTATCCATGCACCCCACTTGGTGCTAAGGAAAACCTGAAAGAGGGAGAAACGAGCTGTTGGAAACCACAGGCCTTTGAGTTACTTGCCAAGAGCCTCTTTGGCTGAGAACCATTCTCATGGGAGCGAATGGTTCACATCTAGCTGTGTTTCTTTATGATTCCCGTGTCCATGGTGCAGCACCCCCTTTCAGGGCTATGTGGGGAGTGCACACACGCAAATCCAATATTCCTACTATGTTTTTCTAGCAGGCCAGTGCTTAACCCTCTGGTTGAAGTCTTTTGACTATTTCTTCCCCTCTCAGCCTTCCAGGTGAAGCAACAAATCAGTCAGCAAACTAGGTTCAACACAAGAAAGGGAAAGGAAAGTCTCTAAGCAGCTCCCTCCAGGGTATGAGCCTCTGACTTCAGAAGCCCCTGAAGTGTCCATGTCAGAGGTTACTGGGTTCCAGTGCAAGTCTCAGTCTTTCCCCCCCTTTTTAGCTCAAGGGATCTGCACCCTCCTTCTGCAAGGACAGCAGCTCTGCAGGCTGTCAGCCCTCTCTCCAGGGCCAGAGAAGCTCAGCCTATTCCCTTCCCAGGGTTGCCCCCATCTGAGTGGAGTTCCTTCCTTTTAACTCCTCTTCCTGGCCCGATTTGCAGGTGTGATGGAGCAGGGCCACCCAAGCCCAAAGCAGCTCCTTAACCCCTTCCATGCTAGTGCAGGGTTTCTATACCATGTCACAAGCTTCAGTAGTAACGTACTATTATTAGAAATGAGGCATTTACATGTATTAATTATTTTTTTAAAAAGATGTTCCCTACCGCAAAGGAACAACAGGTGGAGACAGGCTGACAGACAGGGGAGGAGAAGGAAATGATGAGACAATGCTAGTCAACATGTTGAGAGGTGGTCTCACCACACTGGCTGCCTAACCATGTGAACTCTCTTACTGACGAGCACAGCCGTTGATCGTTGGAGTTGAATGCTTGGCTGCCCAGATGGTGTAGTTGGGAGGGCTTTGGCTTCCTCAGCCTTGGAAGGCTGCTCTGGGAAGGTCTGCTGGGAAGAGATGGGGTCCACCTGACCAAGAAGGGGAAGAGCATCTTCACACACCAACTCACACAACCTAATGAGGAGGGCTTTAAAGTAGGTTCAAAGAGGCCAGGTGACAAAAGCACAGGTAAACATAGAAGAGGGCCACCTTAACAGAGAGCTAGATGTTGGGGGAGAGACATGGAAAGTTACCATAGGGTAGGGGTGGGCAAACTTTTTGGGCCGAGGGCCACATCTGGGTGGAGAAATTGTATGCAGGGCCGGGGCAAGGGGTTGGGGTGCAGGAGGGAGTGCGGGATATGGGAGGGGGTATGGTGTGCAAGAACGGGCTCAGGGCAAGGGATTGGGGCAGAGGAGGAATGTGGGATGTATGAAGGGGCTCAGGGAAGGGGGTTGGGGTGTGGAGTGCAGGAGGGGGCTCAGAACAGGGGTGTGGACTGCGGGAGGGAGCTCAGGACAGGGGGTTGGGGTGCACAGAGGTGCGGGGTGCAGCAGGGGGCTCAGGGCAGGGGGTTGGGGCGCAGGAGAGGTGCAGGGTGTGGCAGGGGGCTCAGGGCAGGGGGTTGGGGTGCAGGAGGGGTGCGAGGTGCAGGCAGGGGGCTTAGGGCAGGGAGTTGGGGTGCAGGACAGGTTTGGGCTCCAGCCTGGCGCTGCTTACCTAAAACGGCTCCGGTGTGGCAGCAGCGTGCACTGGGGCCAGGGCAGGCTCCCTGCCTGCCTGCCCTGGCCCCATGCTGCACCGCTCCGGGAAGTGGCTGTCACCACAACCCTGCACGGCCCCTGGTGGGGTGGCGGGGGACAGGGCTCCACGTACTGCCCTTGCCACGCCTCCAGGTACCTCGTCCGAAGCTCCCATTGGCCGCGGTTCCCTGTTCCCGGATAATGGGAGCTGCAGGGGGCAGTGCCTGGAGGCAAGGGCAACACACAGAGCCCTCTGCCCCCACCCGCCCCAGGGACGTGGTGCCAGCCGCTTCTGAGAGTGGCACAGGGCCTGCGGCACCACGGGGGGGCAGTCCCGCAGGCTGGATCCAAAGCCCTGAGGGGCCAGATCTGGCCCGTGGACCGTAGTTTTCCCACCTCTGCCATAGGGTCATCCAAACAACAAGAGGAATCTACTCAACATCTTAGATGTCTATATGCAAGGGGTATGGGGAATAAACAGGAGGAACTGGAAGTATTAGCACATAAGCTAAGTTATGACAATTAGATTCACAGAGACTTGGTGGGATAAATCTCATGACTGGAATGTTGGTATAGAGGGGGATAGTTGTTCAGGAAGGATAGGTAGGGGGAAAAATGGAGGAAGTTTGTTTGAGATCCAGAAGGAGGTGGGAAGCAGATCATTTGAAACACGCTGGGCAAAGATAAAAGGGGGAAAAATAGGGGTGACATCATGGTAGGGGTCTACTCTAGACCACCAAATTAGGAACGGGAGGTGATTGAGGCATTTCTAGAACAAATAGCAGCCAGCTTTCTATCCACCTTACAGCCCATTCATCCAATCCATACTTTAACTTGCTGGCAAGAATACTGTGGGAGACCGTATCAAAAGCTTTGCTGAAGTCAAGATATATCACATCCACCACTTTCCCCATATCAACAGAGCCAGTTATCTCATCATAGAAGGCAATTAGATTAGTCAGGCATGACTTGCCCTTGGTGAATCCATGTTGACTGTTCCTGATCACCTTCCTCTCCTCCTAGAGCTTCAAAATGGATTCCTTGAGGATCTGCTCCATGATTTTGCTGGGGACTGAAGTGAGGCAGACCGATCGGTAGTTCCTCAGGTTCTCTTTCTTCCCTTTTTTAAATATGGGCACTATATTTGCCCTTTTTCAGTCATCCGGGACCTCCCCCAGTCACCACGAATTTTCAAAGATAATAGCCAATGGCTCTGCAATCACATCAGCCAACTCCCTCAGCACCCTTGGATGCATTAGATCTGGACCCATGGACTTGTGCACGTCCAGCTTTTCCAAATAGTCCTTAACCTGTTCTTTCACCACTGAGGGCTGCTCACCTCCTCCCCATACTGCGTTGCCCGGTGCAGCAGCCTGGGAGCTGACCTTGTCTGTGAAGACTGAGGCAAAAAAAGCATTGAGTACTTCAGCATTTTCCACATCCTCTGTCACTAGGTTGCCTCTGCCATTCATTAAGGGTTCCACCCTTTCCCTGACCTTCTTCTTGTTGCTAACATACCTGTAGAAACCCTTCTTGTTACCCTTCACATCCCTTGCTAGCTGCAACTCCAGTTGTGCCTTGGCCTTCCTGATTACACCCCTGCATGCTCTAGCAATATTTTTATACTCCTGCCTAGTCATCTGTCAAAATTTCCACTTCTTGTAAGCTTCCTTTTTGAGTTTAAGCTCACCGAAGATTTCACTGTTAAGCCAACCTGGTTTCCTGCCATATTTGCTATTCTTTCTGCACATCGCCGTGGTTTGTTCCTGTGCCCTCAATAAGGCTTCTTTAAAATCTATGTGTTTTCTCACTTTTTCCCTGTGCCAGAGTGGCACAGCGGGGTTAGATTACAGCTCAGGATCTATTTTAATTACCCATTTAAAAAATGCAGGACAATGATTAGGAAAACAGTATGATTTTCATGTGTGAAAGTCTGAGCAATTTAAAATGACATTCTACTTTACTTTTATTTTGGTGTTTGGTGTTCTGTAACATAATTGAAATGAAAATCCAGGATTATAACTGGAATGCAGAGTATTGGTTACCAAGTTTTTGTAACTTAACTTTCAAACGCTGAACAGTTATTGTGATTTTTTTTCTGTAGGGTTTTAGTTTAAAAAAATTACCAAAAGAAGTGAAACTGGTGTGATTATATTGCATTATTTTGACAATATGCAGAATCTTGCACAATTTTTAATTTTTTGGCATAGAATTCCCCCAGGAGTAGTAATGCAATTGTCTGCCACTACATTATAATAGGGATAGATAAGTGAATACAATGCAAGTAACATTTCATTAGTTATTATGCAGTTTACATATCAAATGTTTTTAGTCGTCCTAATACTAACTTACACGTTTGATCTAGGGTTAATTAAGCACAGGGATATACATAATGTAATGCGATAGCATTCAACAGGTTACAGATAAGTAAAGACATCATCATTCCCGTTTCCTTTGAACTAAATACACACCTGAGTGAATTAGTACACTTAATCTTTCTTTGATATTCCCACCAAAGTGAACTGTCCTATTGCTCTGACCTGAACTGGCCAGCCAGCATCACACCCCCAATGCAAAACTGATGTAGGAACAGGTGTCACTTATGCTTCTGAATACATTGCAGGGTTCCCCAATTCTTGATAAGGCATCCACAACCACACTTTCCTTCCCCTTGGTATGGATTATGTCCATGTCAAATTCTTGTAAAACCAAACTCCAGTGAAGTAATCTAGAATTGGTTCCTTTAGCTCAGTGCAGCCAACTTAAAGGGGTATGGTCACTTAAAACATTTTATTGTACAGATAAGGTTTGAGTTGCTTAACAGCCCAGACAATGGCATAGCACTCTCTCTTGATGACAGCATAATTTTGTTCAGTGAGGTTCCAGTTTTTCCTTAAGAAGGCAGTGGGATGTCTTTTGCACCTATGCTCAGTCTTGCCTCAGCACTGCAGCCAATCCAATATTAGAAGCACGAGTACACAGCACAAATGGTTTGTTGAAATCAGGGATGATCAAAACAGGCTCTTTAGACAAAGCCTCTTTTATATTATGGAAGCTTTTCTCACAAGCCTCTGTCCATACCATCCAGTCTTGTTTTCCCTTTTTCATAAAGTCTGTTATGGGGGCCACAATGTCACTAAACCCCTTTACAAACCTATGGGAATAGTTGGCCACACCGATAAAGGACTGGACCTTTGATCTAGGGTTAATTAAGTGCAGGGATATACATATTATAATGCAATAGTGTTCAACAGGTTACAGATAAGTGAAGACAACATCATTCCTATTCCGCTGGCCTGTCAGCATTACAATGTTCTTGCTTGATGTATGTACCCAGTGGATATTAATAGCTCCAGTAATATACACTGGAATTATGACTCAACTGTGTGGAGTTGGGAAATGGATCTACAGGAGACATAGGAATGTGCTTTCCCCATCTGGGAGTTACTTCCAAAGGAATTTGAAAGACAATGAGAATTTGTTTACATATCACGTGAACAGACTCATCAAGCTAACAAGGGTTGAAAGCAAACCTCATGCTAACAAGCTGGGAAGAGGACAGCATGGAGTCTACACCCCGCAGGAGAGAGAAGCTTGGTCCGAGTTTTACTTTTCAAGGAAGACATTGCAAAGGGTTACTGGTCTGTAAAGAAGGGGGCTGTACCTCCAGTGATAAGCAGGTGAATTCTACTGTATGATAAAAATGCATAGAGTGAGGTTTTTGTTGAAAGCTAATGACACATTCATGATTAATAGCAATGTGAGATGTCTATATTAACACTGTAGGAGGTAATATGGATACTTAATGATATTGTGCTTTAAAGTCTGTGGCCAACCAGGGAGAAACAGGTTCGCTGCCAGACAGGATAGAAGGCAGCTATCTACCTGTCTCATCTGTCAATTAAATATGGTAGAAGCAAAACAATGGAAGCCCCATTTCCATACAGGGAATGGGAAGATGGTTCCTTCCCCACTCTGAACTCTAGGGTACAGATGTGGGGACCTGCATGAAAACCACCTAAACTTATTTTTACCAGCGTAGGTTAAAACTTCCCCAAGGTACAAACTATTTTACCTTTTGCCCTTGGACTTTATTGCTGTCACCACCAAGCATCTAACAAATATATAACAGGGAAAGAGCCCGCTTGGAAACGTCTTTCCCCCAAAAATCCTCCCCAAACCCTACACCCCCTTTCCTGTGGAAGGCTTGATAAAAATCCTCACCAATTTGCATAGGTGAACACAGACCCAAACCTTTAGATCTTAAGAACAATGAAAAAGCAATTAGGTTTTTAAAAGAAGAATTTTAATTGAAGAAAAAGTAAAAGAATCACCTCTGTAAAATCAGGATGGTAAATATCTTACAGGGTAATCAGATTCAAAACATAGAGAATCCCTCTAGGCAAAACCTTAAGTTACAAAAAGACACAAAAACAGGAATATACATTCCATTCAGCACAGCTTATTTTATCAGCCATTTAAACAAAACAGAATCTAACGCATATCTAGCTAGATTACTTACTAAGTTCTAAGACTCCACTCCTGTCCCCGGCAAAAGCATCACCCAGACAGAGAGAACCTTTGTTTTCCGCCCCCCCACTCCAGCTTTGAAAGTATCTTGTCTCCTCATTGGTCATTTTGGTCAGGTACAAGCGAGGTTATTTTAGCTTCTTAACCCTTTACAGGTGAAAGGGTTTTTCCTCTGGCCAGGAGGGATTTAAAGGTGTTTACCCTTCCCTTTATATTTATGACAGAAGCCCACAGAAAAGGGAAGAATAGCATGAGGTCATCATGCTTCTTGAAACAAAGTCATTGAATTTGGGAAGATTCAAGCAAAGACAGAAGCCATCTTTGGCAGCCATCATTTGACAGACACAACAGAACAGAGCTCTTACAAGCTGAGAAAGATGGGGCCTTCATCCAACAGGGGGCTGCAGTCTCAGAAATTGAATATAGGTGAGAAACCTGCTTAGGCAAAGATTGTACCTTGCTAGATTAAGTTTTAGAGATGTTTTCACTTTTATTTGCTTGTAATCATTTCTAACTTTATCTCATACTTGAACTCAGTTCAATTCCTATCTTCCTTTGTTAATGAACTGGTCTTACTATTAATTGAAACCTACAGTGCTGCATTTGAATTAAATTGATTGTCAGCTCCAGTTAATAAGGCTGTTAATTGTGTCTCTGGAGGAAGAAATGGCCCTTATAATTTCTCTGAACTGTCCAGGAGAAGGCTGGAGATTACAGAGGACCTGGGCTAGGGAAATTCAGGACTGGGAGTGTGTTGGGACCACCTTGCTGGTTGTAACGAAGGCTGGTGGAAGCCGGAGAGGAACTGTAGACAGGCTTCTGGGGTCAGAGCTGCTGAACCAGGGCTGTCTAGCACAAGACAGACAGGGTGAGAC